ATATCAAATTGCTGCTCCCCCAAAAAATAACTCACTATGAAAAGAGAAAAGTGACAAACGCCATTTAATGTTCTGCATAGTCGAAGCATTTTTGGTCATGTGAACCATAATAGGTCAAAATGTGATAGCACATGCTTTGCCGAAAGTGTTGATTGAGTACTACCTTAGAAGGCAGTCCCTCAGACTAGGCTTTTAGCCAGTCCAGATGAAAGTCCTTGGAGGTAGGGCTTTGTTTCGGGGTTGCCCATTCCAACTGTAAACTAGTATCTGGTTTTCGTGGCGATAAGAGGGTTATGCCCCTGAGTTGATGTTTGTCCTGCTCCTGGATCCAGGATGCTGTGTGGTTGGTCTTGGAATTCTCTAAGGAGGTCTTTAGATCTTGTCTGGAAAAAATGTCAAGGAGGTGGTTGCTGTGTTTTCAGCAGGAAGTTTCTTTACATATCTGTCCTTGCCTGGTCAACACAGTTTAGAAATAGCCACTGAATTGGCTGCTTCCCAATTAGTTTTCAAGTTAAGTTTCTTTAGAGTGTGCTATTAGGCATGGGAAGCAGGTGGTGGAGCTTCTTTAAATGCCATCCCCAGGAATGGCAATGTGCATGTTCTTGCTCCAGTTCAGGGTCCCTGAGGGCTCCATGGCCATGATCTTCTTCAACAAAGCACGTTAGTAGTGAGTAGAAAAGGCAGAGGAAAGGTGCATTAAGAAATTTTTTAATCTTCAGCCTCATTCCAAGAAAGTAATACCCGCTGAGCTACTTGGAAGGCTCGTTAGAGAAGATCCCAGCAGAGAAGGCAGCACCCAGAGCAGCAGGACTCCCATTCCTCCTGCCTCTCAGAAGTCTTGGTGGCCAGGGTTGGTATTATCTTTCTGCGCCCCTGTCTTAAGAGCACTGCTTTCTAGGCACAGATGAATGGGACAGCACCATGCAGGCAGGCATTCCTGAGACAGCGCTGCCCCTGGGCATCCTTCACTGCCCGGTCACCTACCCATCCTTGATAGTCCAGTACTTGCTCATCAAGACTGCATTTTTTAGACTGCTTCTTAACAAGCCAAAGTCTCAGCTATCTTTTATGATCAAGTTTGCTGTATCCAAATATAGTCACTCCATACCGGACATGTCCTTCAACTCAAACCTGCTTGGTGATTTGTTCCCTCTTTAAAACATATCCTCTATGTCACCACACTGGTGTAAGCACAGCCTCAGGTATGAGGCTCCCTGGGACTCCTTCACCAGGTTACCAGGAGACCTCCTAGGCTGGGGCACATACACATACTGGAGCTCTTGGGGTTATGTTCCTACACAGGAGTATAAGTGTTCATGAAGAGAGGTTCTGTGTTGTATTTTTATTTTGTCTGAAAGTTGGTATTCCCCGGGACTCAGAAGACCTAAGTATTAAGCCACAGGAGCATCTCTGTGGACAGTCAGCTGTGTGGAGGAAGTGTCCAGATCATCCCTTTTAATAGACAGTAGCTTTGGGAAGCTTGAAATCCTTTCTAGAGAGATGTGGTTTGGCAATGAAATTTAGTAGCTAGACCAGAGTGTAATACATTCTCTTTCTTTGTAGCCACCTTAGCAATGACCTCACAGTCTGAGACCTGAATCAGTAATGTGGACCTCCCCCACCCCTCAACTGAGTGTGGTCCATCTTACAAGAAGCTCTTGGAAGTCTGTTTCTGACTTTCAGATACTCTTTAGATGTTACGGTTTTTGTTTTGTTTTTGTGCGGGGGTTTTCCTCTGTAAAAACAGAAAAAAATGTATATCTTCTCCAAAAAAAGTATAATTATCTGGGTGTATATTACTTTATTAAACTGATCCAAAAATAAATTCTAGTTATTAAATAATAATGATTTCTTGCACAAACAGCCATCAGTGGCCTATGTACATACTACGCCGGGCCTACCTTCAGGTTGGGAAGAAAGAAAAGATGCTAAGGGACGCACATACTATGTCAATCATAACAATCGAACCACAACTTGGACTCGACCGATCATGCAGGTATGAAGATCACCATCCAACCCAAAATCTCAGACCATAGCGGCCGAGATGTATGTGACCTGCATCCCATCCTGGTGTTTATGTCCTGTTATGAAGGAACTAAGTTTAAGGAAGAGTCTCACCAAAGACAGGCATTACTCTAAGTAGACTATTTGCCTAAGGAACACTTTGGTCCTCAAATCAGTCTGTCCTTGGATACATTACTTTTAATGTGCCATGAAAGGTATTTTCAAAGAATGAGCCTATGGCATTGTAGAGTTCTCCTCCCCACCTCCATGTCCCTCTTTTTCTAAGGCTGGTTTTATACAGCCCAGTGATTCATTTTTATTTCTCCTGAATGTGTCTCCCTATCTTTGCCCCCATTATTATGTTTAATTATTTCCTCCATGCTTTAAATAGTCCAGACCTCTTATTATTGCTGTGTGTGTTGTTTGCGTTCACGCTCCTAATCATACACAGGGAGATCCTCATACGAAGCTAACTTGTTTTTGCCTCCAAAATAGCTTGCAGAAGATGGTGCCTCTGGATCGGCCACAAACAGTAACAACCACCTAATCGAGCCTCAGATCCGCCGGCCTCGTAGCCTCAGCTCGCCAACAGTAACTTTATCTGCCCCACTGGAGGTGAGAAGGCTGCCTCGCCTAACCGGGGTCACCTCTGTCCTGTGGCTTCTCTTCATTCCCTTCTCTCTAAACTCTGGCTTCAGTTTCGCAGCCAGCTCCACCCTGAGCAATCGTGTGTGGTGGTGAGGGCTGCTCTGTGCAGACTCCCCACATGCTTCCCTGTCTCAGCCAGCTGACATCCTGGACTCTCTCATAATCTTCATTCTCATTTGGCTGACACCGTTCGTGGTGACTGGTGCTGGGTGTGGGTGCTCTCTCTGCAGAACTCGTACCATCTCTGTTCTGTCTGCTCCTTATTGCCTGTTACCTCATCAGAGCTGCATAATACTTCTTTTCAATGCCAGTGCTTCTCTTGAGTTTTCAATAGCTGTTGCTTTGATCACATTTTCTTTGACTGTAGGGTCTTCCATTGTGTGGGCATCCATGTTTCAGATGCGTATTTGCATCTCCAAGTCATTGCTGGACATCTGTTTGTGTGCTCTCCTGTTTGTGTTGTTTTAGTGGAAGCCCTGAGCATTACAAGTGGCAGACTTAGAAAGGCTCAAGCAGTTAAGGCTGTGCCCTGGAGATGGCTGTGAGCTTCCCCTGGCCCTGAGGCAAGCTGTTGCTCAGTGGGAGTGGGCGATAGCTCTTCAAGACTGGGATGGGTTGTGGGGTTAAACCATGTCATTCCAAAGTGTTTCCTCCACTGATTGAGATTTTCCTTTCTGGGTTCTGAAACTTGGTGATCTAGTCATTAGACTGTGAGCTCATTATGAGCAGGGCCTTATTTTTCTCTACTCTGAAATCTCTACCCATAAAACAGAACTTTTGGCAGTTATCAAGTGGCAAAGAATGGTGGTTATTCATATTTAATGTTGTTGGATGTTTAATCAACAGAAAAGGTATAAAGTTAGACTGATTTAAAAGTAAATGAAGAAACAGGGTTTTAGGAATCTCCCCCTTGTCCCTTTCAGAGGAGGAGCTTTCTATGGTACCCAGGTGCATTTTGACACGTTGGATTAGCACATGGTGAAGAGTTCTAATGCTCATTATTATTCCTTAGGGTGCCAAGGACTCACCCATACGCCGGGCTGTGAAAGATACCCTTTCCAATCCACAGTCCCCTCAGCCATCACCTTACAACTCCCCCAAACCACAACACAAAGTCACACAGAGTTTCCTGCCACCCGGCTGGGAGATGAGGATAGCTCCAAACGGCCGACCCTTCTTCATTGACCATAACACAAAGACTACGACATGGGTAAGGCTGCTGCTTTTATTTGGCTCCATTTTCACCATGAGCTCCAGTTAATTACTTTCTTTCCTGGCTCAGTCCTTGTGGTTCATGGAGAGGAGTCTTACCATCAACTCTAAAGCAAGCCTCTCAGGTCTGCTCGCCCACATCTGGGCTGGTGGGTGCTGTGGCTCAGGGCACAGAGCTGGCCATTGGGAGTGCTAGTGCCAGCTTGACCTGCTTTTTCTCATGCACTCCAGGAGAGCTCTAGTTTTCATAATTTGCTCCATTTGGGGGAAAGGGGTAGCCTTTAGATTGCCAGGTTTGTTTTGCTGTATTACATCTTGTGCTATTTGTAATTTTATTAGCAATTGTAACCATTGTCAAAATAATGTTTTCTCTGTATGTCTTTTTGCATTACTTCCCCACCTTACAGGATTTGTCACTTTTGTTTTTAGTGTTTATACCAAATTAGAGTTTTGTATTTCTGTGCTATATTTTCTTTCTTGCTTTATGAGTTAGATAGACTGAATGACTTGGTTATAAACCTGATCGTTCTTCCCAGTGAACATTTTGTCAAAATTGATTTTTCTTGCCATGCTGATCTCTCATGTGTTCTTGAATCACACGTGTAAAAGCCTGTGTGTTGTGGTTGGGTGAAATGAGATTAAGCAAAGGTGAATACAGGTGTTTCTGTGTCTTCTTCAGCTGGATCATCGGTAGCTTTTTCAAGCCCTTGCAAAGAGTGCTTTTAAAAGTCAGTTGGTATTACTCTACTGCACAGTCCCTAGTCCTGTAACTCAGCTGAATTGGATTCTCTGGTTTCTGGTTGGTTTTGATACAACAGGACCTTCTGTTTTCTGCCTGTTCAATCTGGTTGGGTAGAGCTAACTCGGAGGTTTTTTTTTGCCCTTCTGGCATTTGTGCTGCTCCCTTAGTGCTACTAGGAAAGCTTGTTGAGTTTCTGGAGATTGCCCTGGCCAGGTTCTTTAGTCTTGAATCAACAATGCATAGGCACTTTCAATTCCCATTTCTAGTGGAAGAGACAGAGTATGTATACTTGATGGAACAGTGCTGTTGCGTTAAGGAAGAGGCTTCAACCAAGGTGACCTTGGCTATCATTTACACTCTGTCCATGGTGTAATGTTAATCCAATCCCTTGAGAATCAGTCTAGAGGACTCCCTAAAGTACCAAGGTGCAGTGTGTCCCCAGGAGGGCATTTTTGGCAGCTGCGGCAGGCCTGTGCCTTCCACTGCAGGATGTTTAGCATCCCTGACTCCTGCCCCTGAATGCTAATGGTTGCCATCACCCTCGCAGTATTCTGATGATCAAATATGCCCCCCATATTTCCAGACAACTCTCAGTGAGAACTGCTCTCAGAACCCTCCCTATTTCACAGTAAAGGAATTTACTTACATGCCAAGAGCAGTTACCATTGAGATCTGATGACATGCATTTGATAAACTGTTAATTACTCCGAAGGCATATAATGACACAGAGACTTGTTTGACTCGCCTCCTAGTCTGGAGATAGTATTGCAGGTTTGTGGGCAGCTGAGAATAAGAGAGCAGCTCTTTGGAAAATAGGGCCATGGACATTGGTTTGGGGTCTTTCTTATTTTTTGTCATTGACACAGAACCCACACCTGTCCTGATGATGTTCCCATTTTCCATAGTACTGCTGGAGTTCCAAACCCTCAGCCAGAAATTGGAGCTCCAGAAATAGGAGGTAAATATCATAAAAGTCAGTGGATTAGTGAATGGAGCCACTCTGGGTTGCCAACATAAGCTATGATCTTAGTAATGTGAACTAGCTTAGTAACCAAATCCCCTAACCTTTCACAGCCTTTCACGCCCCAACTTCAGTATAAGTGCAGCTGGGCAGGTTTGATTTTAAATAGCATCAGCTTTATTTATTGCTGGCACTGGTGCCAATGTAATGAACTCAGTTTTAATTGCCAGTTGTCTCTTTTTACTCAGATCTTTGCTATTGACCAGTTGGCTCATTTGAAAGTTTAATTTATTAAAATGTTTTGTTGCTGCTACTGCTACTATTGAAAATTCTTAACAACTAGAAATCCCTCAAGTCACTTCCCGTCAGCAGGCAGATGTGCTGACACAGCTGTGTTATCTATTCCAAAGATACCCATACAGAATTCTCATTGTGGAAGACAGACTCTTAAATTGCAAGTCCATCTTGGCAAAGAATAGGAGAAGGCAGGAACAATAAAAAATAATTTCTGAATTCAAATCTGTTAGAAGTTACTTTCATAAGAATAAAGGAGAGGGGGCCTGGAGAGATAGCTCAGTTCAGAGCACTGTTCAGAGCACTGGATGCTCTTAAAGAGGACCCAGGTTCATTTCCCAGCACCCACACAGTGGTCACCAGTCCTTACCTCCAGTTCCAGGGGATCTGATGCCCTCTCCTGGCCTCTGTGGACACTATATACATGAGTGCACTTATATACATGCAGGCAAAACACACATAAAATAAAAACAAATAAAATCTTTAAAAAAATAAATGAGAGGGCAGCAAAGCTCTTCTTAGATTTGAGTATCATGATAGAAAAAAAAAAAAAAAAAAACTGGTAGGACGGCTAAGGGAATAATGAAAATACCATTTCTTCCCCCTTCATCCTGTGTTGTTGATTCATGTACTTCATTGAACTCAGGCCAAGTGTTCCCCCATATGCATTGGAAGGATAAAAGTCCATTCAAAGCATATTTACAAGGCACAGCCTTTATACACACAGGTGATGAAGGCCATGTGCCAGCGGTTTGATTGGAATAAAGTCTGACCACTTTAAAAGCAAACAAAAAAGATGGCTTTGTCACCACCCAGGTCAGCCAGCAGGAATGCATGCTAGGAGTCACCAGAGGCCCCAGCTTTCCATTCCCTCTGTTTTGGGAGCAACTCAAAGCCTGTGTTGCTGGTATATTGATGCCTTTCACAGGACAGCATTGGCCTATTTTTGTAACAACAGAGGTTATGACTTAAGTTAAATTACAGCTACCCAAGTTCACTGTAATAAAACTGACTTATAGCCTAAGCTTGATTGCTGATCTCTTCCAGGATAGAAAGAATAAAGGAAAAAAAAACACATTTCTTTGGACTCAGTTCATATGCCTGTGTAATATGTGTTTTTAGATTGGGACTCACTTCTTTCAAAAAGAAATACACACACACGCACACACACACACTCATATGTGCTGAAATAAGGAGAAACAGCCACATATGTTTTATGTACATGATTCATTTGTATTCCTGTCATTGAAGACCTCAGTATTCCAGCTTACCATTATCCCAGTGTTGTCCTTAAGTACCACCAGGCCTTGGCTGCCACGTTACCTGCCTATAAGCTATGGTGATACCTACCTCCTTGGGTTGTCAAGGGACTCAGCAGGACAGTGGCTTCAGTGTTACCATCACACATTCCTCAGAGATGGACTACTGGCAGCTGCAGCCATTATTTTTGGTTATTGCAAGTACAATAAAATATGACTCCTTGGCTAGGGGCTCTTAACGTCCTATGAAATCTGGGTTTCCATGCAAAGCCATTTTAGCAGACTTGTAAAAATGATCTCATTAATGCTTTTCTTGTTCTACTCCCCCCCCCCAGCACCTTTCTTTAATCTCAGTATCTTTCTTTTTTCTTCTCTGCATCGTCAATTATTTTTGCCCAAAGAGACAATTGTCTTGCACAGTTGAATAAGTGCCGGCCTTATGTGTAAAAGCACCCAGAATCCCCATCCTTTTTGTTATAACCATCCCAGGCTTTCTGTAAACATTACTTGGTCATTGGCTACTTGGAGCTCAAGAGTCTCTGGCAGCTGAAGGTATAACCTGTCCCAGGCCAGAGTTAGCACTGAGTGAGTAGCTTTTGTGGACTGCATTTAAGTCTTCTGTCTAGTTAACCAGCTACAAATGACATCCAGGTCATTATCTTCTTGGACTCTCAATCCTAAATCTGCTGGGCATATATTTATATGTGTTGCCACAGAGTACAGAATACTGGACCATGTCTCAGCTGTTGGAAAAATGCATAGCTACACACATCCATCACAAAGTGCTAAAATGATTTATTCCTTCAATTAAGTTTGTTCTAGCTAACAGAAAGCAGAAGCCGATTGCATTATTTGTGTCCTCTTTTGATTCTTGCCAATTCCAGATAGCTCTCACTTTCTTATAATCCAGTGATACAAGCTTTTACTGTTGACTCAGGAAATTGACAAAGCAGAAAACCTTTCAGTAATTTGGCAGCAGCAAAGACTCTAATGGAATTGAAAAAAGCTAGTGTCAGATGTCCCAAAGGTTCACTTTTTAATCTTGGGCTAATAATGTTATTGTTCTGGCTGATCATGTATCATTCTGAATATTGTCATTTGTTTTCTAATCTTTTGAGTTTAAAGCTATGAATTCTCTAAGCCCTGTCACATTTTTATTGGGTCTATGTAAGTGAGGGGCTGTTCCCAAGCTCTGGATCCTAACCTTTGAGCAATTCAATTTGGCAAAGTGGGTCTGTGACACTCAGTTTTCCCTATCTGAAGAAACAGAGACTGTAACAAGGAATGTTGCAAAATTATATGTTTGATTGTTCTTTGGAAATCATAGAATATGACCCAAGATATGAGAGCATGTATTTCACTTTCATTGACTTTTTTGGGGGGAGGGGGGGTCGGGCGTCATATGGTCTCTTATGAAGCCTGTCGCTTAAAGAACTCTTACCGACTTTTCTATTAAGACATAAATGAGAACCTAATCAGCAGAACTTGGTCAGGAGTCTCAGTAAAGTTGCCTGGTACCATGATCCAACATGATGAAGCAGGTTGTCTCTAGAGTAGTGAAATCAACTTTCTGGTCAGATGGATTCACAAGAAGCTGAGGAAGCACAAGGGCCAATGATTGCCATTCCCAGTGGAGGAGGATCCAGAGACTGATATGAGAATGCTCACCCACATTTCCTCTCTGGAGGAGAGCCATGCATCGTCCATTTTGATTGTTTTCCCACTTTACCTTCTCAGAGTCTTAGGGGAAAGAGTTAACCTCTTCATGTGTTTTTGCTCTCCTTTCCTGAGACATGGTAGCCAGGTTTCCTCTACAAAGCAGACAGCTGGGTTCCTTCCCCTGCTTTCTGCACAGGCAATGCAAGTGCCTTGGAACACACAAGAATGGAAGGTGCCGATAACTATACACAGGGAGTCCCTCTAACAGCTGCCATTTGCATTTTTCCTGCAGGAAGATCCACGACTGAAATTTCCAGTGCATATGCGGTCAAAAGCATCTTTAAACCCCAATGACCTTGGCCCTCTTCCTGTGAGTACTCTGAAGAGGCATGGAATAGTCTGAAAATATCTACTTACCTGCTCTGTGTTAATGGAAAAGCCAGTGGGTCCCCTTCTCCAGTCTTCCTGGATCTCACTGCTCTATGTTCCTTAGGATTAGGTGTTAGGAGAATTTGAAAGATGTGTTGTTACAATATATGTGATACCAGTACTTACAGAAGTTCTGAATTGCTAGCCATTAGTGGAAGTTAGTCTTTAATCTAGGACACTATAGGTACCAGTTTAAGCAGTGTGCATTTATTTTGTAACTTGTGACTACTGAGCTCCATCCTACTGCTGATTTAGTCTTAGAAACAAAACCCGGAATATAGTATGGAAGAAAAAGGCATAAACAGTTACAGAACTTTTTTTTTTTAACCTGTGAATATTTCGTGTTTTACCTTTTGTTGGAGACTAGTTCTAAACCTTGGTTTGGGGATTGTTTGTTTGTTAAGATTGTTTTTTCTTGGGGAGAATTGTGTAATTTGCTCTGTGTTGGGTATTGAATGGAACGTTTGCTGTGTGCCTTCTTCAGCAGTCCATCCTTCACAAAAAATGCAGGAGACTAGGAGACAGGGTTGGTTTGGTTTGGTTTGGAGTTTTGTTTTTTTAGAGAACCTGGGCCAACCTGGAACTCACTGTGTAACCCAAACTGGCCCAGAACTCAGAATCCTCCTGCCTTCCCTTCACAGGTGCTAGGACTATAGCATGTGCCGCTACACCCGACTTCTAAGACTGTTTTTAAATGGAAATTTTTATTTTTGTTTCCCAGGGATAAGAACTTTTCTGTTACCTGATATGTGGTAGATTATGGAAAATTTGGGGACTACAAAAGTTAGAGGTCAATCTTCATCCATTTGATTTACAGATAACTCTTACCATCCAAATCTAATTGGTTGCTAGATTCTAAGGGAAACAGTCTAGAGAGTAAATTTTTAAAGTAAACCTATTGGAGCTCGGGAGATTGCTCACTGGGTAAGAGCGCAAGCTTGAGGGCTTGAGTTTGAATCCCCAGAACCCACATGAAAAGCTGGATTTGGCTGCGTGCATGCCTGTAACCCCTGGCACTGGAGGGGCAGAGACAGGAAGATCACTGGAGTTTGCTGACTGCCAGCCTAACTCCAAGTTCAGTAAAAGACCCTGTCTCAAGGGAATAGGCAGAGACTAAGAGAACAAGACACCTGATGTCCTCCTCTGTCCCCCATACATATGGGCATTTGCATATACAAAACACGGTACACACACACACACACACACACACACACACACACACCAAAAGAGAATAAAAAAGTGTCTGAATCTTTTATATTTTTGAGTTTCAGATAGTAAATAGAGACAGGTCAGATAATGAGGCTACTAGCCTTAATCTTAAAAATTGCCCAGATCTTGGGATTGGGGAGATGGCTCAGTGGATAAAGCACTTTCTGTTGAAGTGTGATGACCAGAGTTCGGATCCTCAGAATCCATCTAAAAGCCCAGTGGATGTGGTAACCCCTGTAATCCCAACATGTGTGAGACACAGACAGAATCCCCAGAATAAGCTAGCTATCCAGATTAGCTGAAGGCCAGGACTCTATTCTGCAAGAGATCCTTCCTTGTGAGGATGAAGGGCAATCAAGGTAGACACCCAGCATCAGTCTCAGACTTCCACACACACCCATTACATGGACACATGTACCCACACACCTGTGAACCCACATACATATACAAGAAGGGAAGAAAGGAAGGGAGGGAAGGAGGGATGTCCAAATCCTTTAGTTTCTGAGTTTGAATGGTTAAGAGTCCTCAGCGGAGCACCCCAACATTGGGTTACTCAACCCCTTACTAAAGAATAAAACCACCATGTGCTACATGTTATATGAGCCCTTCTCCTCTCTCCTGAAGTACACAGTAGTTTTTTAATTTAATGAGCTTTTCACGCTGAACTCATCCCTTTCGAGCTTTTGCAGTAGCACCTATTCCTTTCCTTTATCCAGTGAAAGCCTGAGACACTTGAGCCCATGCGTGTGTTGTTAGCTGTGCTCCTGAGTTAACATGTCCATTTGGTATATTCTCAGTGTAAAGATTCCTGTAGGAGAGAAAAATAAAGAAGGCTGCTAGAGCTTTTAAGTGTCAGCTTGATTCGGGGACTGCTAACTGATGTTTGTATTCTCTCCCTCCTCCTATCCCTGGACACTAGCCTGGTTGGGAAGAAAGAATTCACTTGGACGGCCGCACGTTCTACATTGACCATAGTAAGTAGGCCCTGCTGTGCACACAGGTGTGGCAGGGCACGGGGAGGGGAGGGTAACTGAAATACCATGGTGAAGCTTTGTCATTTTACTCTCTGTCCAGGCAGCCAGGTGTTATGTGGAGAGAATGATACCAGAGAATCAGTGCCTTCATACGGTACTGTGCCTTCACCCCAAGTTTGCTTCAAAGTAGCCATCAAGCTTTCTCCCAACTTGATCTTGTGACCTATTAACTTTTTTTTTTGAATTACAAAATATTTTTGGTTGACAATCCCTTGATATTTGCGCTTTTAATAAATACACTCTGGAAATAGAAAATAAGATTAGAAGTAATGATACAGTTTTTTTAAAAAAAAATAAATCCACATGTGAGCAGTGTTTTCAGCCACGTATGCTTTGAAAGCACTGCCTTCAAAGGTCTTATGGCAGGAGGCCCATTCTGACCTTATTTTCTATTCATAGCATGTTTTCTTGCTCACTAATAATATATGTAGTTGTTTTCCTGAAATGGTAATATATTTGCTGAAGATAACTACCTCAGCACCTATGAGTAAATGTGTGGTTTCTCATTTCAACTAAAAGTTAAACTAATAAATGTTTGCTTTTAGCCAGAGAGTTGGTTTGGGGGAAATAGGGGGTTCTTTTGAGGTGGTATGTACTTCATGGCTTTATATTCATGTAGCCCTTAAATTTTCTGAAGGAAGAAAGCTTAAAAAGAAAGCTTTAAAAAGTTTAAAAGACTTCAAATAAAGTGTTAATTTCCTTTACAATTGGTAGTATTTTTGTCCTGTGCTTTCTTGTAGTTAGTTCATAAACCAAAAACCAGTGCCAACTCTCAGGCTTTGATAACTAAACAAAGCGTGTTTATGAGCCTTTTGCTGAGAAGTCTAGCCACCTCATAGAGGCCTTGGGGCTATCTCGCAGGCCTAGTAGCTTTTCCACATGAAGTGGAGTTCCCCATCCCCTGCAAGCTGAACTTTGCTTTCAGGCATGAGGGTTTGTGGGTTTGAATTAAGCAAGAAGGCCCAGCCAAAAGTATGTAGGGAACTGGGCTACCCTTGGGCTTAAATCAGATTGTTCAGGACACATAAACTTTGATCTTGTCTTTGGTCAGAAAAAAATACTGAGTTGTTGTACACCTTCCAGCATTTACTGTGAGCATAAAATTGCCACCGTACGTGCTTTAAACTGTGTGTACATGTACAGTTCCCCCACCCCACCCAGTATGCTATCTATTCTTAATTCCGAGATTTCGATAAAGTAGGAGAGAGGTTGCGCCCCTTTATGCCACTAAAAGAAAAACTTTGAGAAAGTTCTTAACATACCACCAGGAGTGAAAAGAAGAATGCCACTATAAATAGTCATTGCAGTTGTGTTAGAACCATACAACATATATATAACTAGTATAATCTTAAAATATTTTATTATTTTTATTTTATGTGTATGAGTGTTATGCCTGCATATGTGTAAGTTCAATGCTCACAGAGGTCAGAAGAGAGTGTCAGATCCCCTGGAACTGGAGTTATGGGCAGTTGTTAGCCACCATGTGGGTGTTGGGAATCGAACCCAGGTCCTCTGCAAGAGCATCCAGTGCTCTTAATCGCTGAGCCATCTCTCCATCTCTAGAATAATTTTAAAAAGATGCTTGATTATTGCTCATTTGAAGTCAGGTTTCTGGAGGGTCGATAGTGAAGGTCTTAAGAATTTGCTGTCTTTGATCAAAGAGTAGAGAGCACCTGCCTGGAGTGAGTAACTGCCACTCCTCAGACCAGGCTGTTACCTGCTCCCAAGAGGCAAAAGGAAGGGGGGAACCTCACTCAATGTCTATGCTCCTTACTTCTAATGTGTCCGCTAGTTGTTCCAGGGTTCATCTGAACCCCAACCTCTTTCCCAGAACATGGTTTGAGAAAGCTCTTCTGGTAAACTCTTCCTCACTTCTAATGATGTGGTGCAGACTGTTCAGAGCCTCCTTGATCTGAACTATACCAGTATAATTGTTCTCATTTAAATTGGAGCTTAAAATTTATTTTGCTTCTGCAAAACCCTACTGAAAGCTTCTCTTAAACAGACAAAGCAAAAATTAGGAGAATAAGAACCATTTTTTGAAAAGACATGTTATCTTTTAACATGTCTCTGCCAGCTCTCCATAATTTTCCATAGTCAAAAATAATAATAATAACAAAAGGGTCCATGTTACAAAAATGGCTCATTTGTCTTTTCATTAAAATCTAGTCTATAAAGTGAAGAATTCCAGTCTTTTTCAAAGACTTTATCAGGTCAACAGGTATTCTCCAACACAGGTTTAATCACACTTAGCAATTTCCTTGCCTTCAGAGTGAAGTCTTTTTTTTTTCCAAACTGTTTTCTAGCAGAACCCATTATCTGATTTCTCAGCCATAACCCCAACAGGCCACAAAGGAGGTCTTCCCTACATACATTGCTTTACTTTACAAGCAGTATTCATTCTTCCTGTCTCCTTTGGTAGCCAGGACATGTGATTGAAGTACAGGCATGAATGCATTTGTCCTTTAAATAATTAGGCTGTTGGGACTGGAGAGATGGCTCAGAGGTTGAGAGCAATGGCTGCTCTTGCTGAGCACCCGTCTGATTTCCAGCAGCCACATGCTAGCTATCAATCAACTCCAGTTTCAGTGATCCAGTGCCCTCTTCTGGTCTCCACGGGTATTGCACAACACAAATAACATGCAAGCAAAACACTCATACACATAAAAATAAAAATAAATCCAAAAATTAAATAATTGAGCTGCTTAATTGCTGTGTTGTGAATTCTTCTTGAGAAGTTAGATGTTTTCAAGATGAATAGAATTTGACTCAAATTCAGAAGCAGCAAATGCTCAGTACCAGTCTAGACATCTTGATTCATTGGATGGATATTTGTTGAGCGTCTCTGTGTCAGGCCTGATGTAAAATGTTAGAGAAATATCTAGAATGGAATTTCTAGCCCTCTTGGGGGAAATGCCATTTTTTCTTACAGACCAGATGTGCCTAACAGCTGAGTCATTGTCCAGAGTTGCCATAAATACAAAAGTTAGAAGAGAAAATTCCAGTGATGGCCGCATTCCCTTGTCCTGTCCCCAGTCTTACTAAACCTGTGAGCAGTAGTGAAAGTAGCCAGGTCTCGTCCTCCTGTTTGCTGCTTGTCCTTCGATTTGAAATTTAATGTCTCAAAGGTTAAAAGCTTGTTTAGATTCAAACAAAAGATCAGCCACCAATCATTCGTCTATTGACAGTACTGCAAATTTGTTCTGATTGTAGCCCCAGGAAAACTTGTGTGATTCTTAAAATCTCAGACTGTTTTGAAAGATCATTGTTTTTACCATTAGCTTCATTCATTCATTACAAAGACAGTATATGAAGCTCCTGTTAAATGTTGGTCCCTGTTTGGCAGAGAACAGGAGGTTTCAGAGTTGAATAACACATAGACCCTGACCTCCAGAGGCCCACGTCTCTAGTGGAGTACCCCGAGTTAGCTTTCTTGTTGAACCAGTTGTAATTTGGGTACCAGACTTGATGGAGGCTGAAGATGGCCTTATGAGATGGGTTCCCTTTCAGACAAATTTCAAGCAGGATTGAGCCTTGCAGGCACAGTGAAGAGCAGTTCTAGGACAGGGAGACATCAGCAGAGGCATGTGCTCAGACTCCTCCATGCTCAGAGGAATGCAGGCCGGTTCCACCTGGCTGGTGGAGGAGGGTGGCATCACAAGCAGGTCAAATCAACAGGTTATCTGCCATCTATGGTGAGATGGGTTCCCTTTCAGACAAATTTCAAGCAGGATTGAGCCTTGCAGGCTCAAGCAGGTCAAATCAACAGGTTATCTGCCATCTATGATGACCCAGGTTCCAGCTGACCTGGAATTCACTGTTTAGATCAGGCTGGCCTCAAACGCAGAGATTTGCCTGCCTCTGACTCCCAAGTGCTGGGATTAAAAGCATGTGCCACCATGCACAGCCATTATATTTCATACATATATTATCTACTCTAAAGCTTTTTTGTTAACTGTACATCTGCTTTCCTTAAATTAATAACACCAGATTTTTAAAAAAATTCCTGGTGTACTTGTTAAAATTGAAACCATTAGTTATTATCAGCCCACTAGCAGGGTGAAAATATGCAGGGTTACTTTTCGTACAAATTCTCCCTTCTTTTACCAACTTGGAAGAATCCATTCTTTGCCCATCTCCCCTCCCCTTATCTTTCATGTAAATCCTCCTGACATACCTCCACCTGTTGTCGTACATACAGGCATCTCTGAAGTCTGGTTAATTACGCACAGCTAAAATCCTGTGTGACAAGTGGTCGTATAGGTAGTGCTGAAAAGTCTTGTTCAAAGCGAGTCTTTTGGAAAAAAAGAAAATTGCCTCTGCCCAGCCAAGCCAAAAAGGAAACCTTTGTCTGGAATCTTCTGTGGCTGTGTCTAATTCTCACTTTTTAGGCTGCCTTCATTGCTTTGATTTTGTGTATATGTGCGTGTGCCCATGTGAGTGACGCACGTTGTGGATTATTTCTTTGTTCAGTGTAGGATCAATGTGGTTTTTCAACACCATAAGCAAATTTTGAGAAGTATTTGAAATGAAAGGGAAAAAAAAAACTGTGTTAACCTTCTAGGGAACTAAAACTTTTTATGCCTTTTTTTAATTAAATGAAAATCAAGATCAAGTTATAAATCCTTGCAAGTAGACGGGTTTATAATTGCAAATTTGGCAGACTGCTTGCCACAACCATGCGAATAGATGGTTTTACTTTAGTTGTACACTTATTATTATTTTTAACCAATAGTATGTGAGGAGTTTGCCATATAGAGTATAGAGTTATCTTCTAACCCAGAAATACTAAATATCTTTGGGGTACAGCCTATGGGACTGACTTTGAAGAATCAAGAAATGGTTCTTTCATAAATATTCTGTATGTGGACTAGATTCAAATTAATGTGCTGATTTGTTTTAATCATTTCAGATAGTAAAATTACTCAGTGGGAAGATCCAAGACTGCAGAACCCAGCCATCACTGGTCCGGTCAGTATTCTAAAGTTCTGCCTCCTCTGTGTGAGATTCTGACTGCATGTAACATATGTGTCTTGTATATTACTTATTACCATGAGCCCAAGAGACCGACAAAACAGTGGTATAAGCATCCTACCATCTCCAGATGGACTATAGCTGCATGGCCCTTTTCATAGGGTCAGGATTATAAAGGAAGAGAAAATAAAATACTGTGATAATTGTAACAAATTAAAACATTTTTCCTAGTCCTTTGTAGAAGGGTGAACTGCTTGTAGCAAGAACATATGTATGTGGGTAACTATAACTTAGGAAAGACATTTGGCTCTGTGTCATTCATTTCTAAATATTTGGCAATTTCCATATGACTTTTTCTTGACTTATAAATTATTTAATATTTAAGCATATGAGAAGGATTCAGCCTACTCATTTTTTTTCTCTTCCTTTATTTCTTTCTTTTTTTTTTTTTTTTTTTTTTTTTTTTTTTTCTTTTTGTCTTTTTTGAGACAGGGTCTCCCAGTAGTCCCAGTTGGCCATGAACTCACTATGTAGACCAGGCTGGCCTCGAACCCACAGAGATCTGCCTGCCTCTGCCTCCCAAGTGCTGGGACTAAAGGCATGTGCCACCAAGCCCAGCTCCTACTCATTTTTTTAAAATCTCTAACTGTATTGGATAGTAACCAGAGAACATTGCCTAGAGTAGTAATTGTCAGAGGGCATTGACTGTGGGATTCTTATCCGGTACTTCATACTTCCTTAAAGGCATGGTCATTATTTGAAAATGTTCTTTGTGTGTGTGTATGTATGTGTGTGTGTGTACTTAAATTACATATATTGTGTCTTTGGTTAAAGAATTCTTTATGCATCTTGTGAAGTCAAGCCTGTGGCATTAGATTACCCACATACAACGTGGTTTTCCTGGCTGTTGATTATAATGACTGTAGTGTCAAAATCTCCATGGTGATTGTTGCTTTATGAGTTTTGTCTAAGATTCATTTAATTACATTTGCTTTCCCTCTTCATTAGTGGTTTTTATTTTGTTTTGTTTTGTTTTTTTGTCTTTTTGAGACAGGGTGTCCCTGTAGCCCCAGCTGTCCTGGAACTCACTATGTAGACCAGATTGGCCTCGAACTCACAAAGATCGGCCTGCCTCTGCCTCTGCCTCCCAAGGGCTGGGATTAAAGGCGTGAGCCACCACGCTGGACTTCATTAGTATTTTTTAATCTCTTAATTTGCACTTTTTTCTTCTTCCTTGCCTTCTGTAGAATATATTTTATTTCTTCTATGCACTTCTATGTTGTACTTTCTAATTTTGTTCTCACATTAAAATGGGGGGTGTAATGTGCATGTGTACATGTTTGTGCAGGTAGATAGGCCAGAGGTCAATATCATATCTCTTCCTCTATTGCTCTGCACCTTATTTTGTTGAGACAGGATCTCTCACTGAACCTGGAGCTCACTGACTTAGCAAGACTAGCTAACCAGTAAGCCCCAGAAATCTTCCTGTCTCTGTCTCCTCGGCTCAGGAATTACAGGTATGTGCCACCACACCTGTGTTTTTCCATAGATGCTGGGGATCCAAACTCAGGTCTTCATACTTTCCTGGAAAGCACTTTTACAAACTGAGGCATCTTCCCAGACCTACTTAAATTTTTAACTAATGCATTTGACAAAGTTAAAACTAATCACTTTCTCCCCTCCTGAATAAAATCAGGACCTGAGAAAACACTAATGGTGTTCTTTCTCACTCGTGGGTAGAATTCGAAACCCACCTTGTCTTTAAACTTCCCAAATAGTCATTCATACTTTATCTTTTCCCCCCAATAGTGATTACTTAATTTGATCTTTATGTAAACGAACTTCTTTTCCTCCCGCAGTTGTCCCCTGTATCCACTCCCCCCACTACTCCCCAATTATCTTCCTGATATAGTACATTACAGGGCATGGTTCTTGGTGTATGGTCTACTGCAGATTCAACACCACTTAGGTCCAACCATTGACCTGTGAAATGAACAAATCTGAGTTCAGACCTGCAATCTGTATAAGATCCCAGGTCACCTCTGCCCTGTAGCACTTCAGAGCCACCGAGAGTGGTAACATCCCTTAGGCTCCAACTCTCGATGTCTGGTTGGACTCCCTCCATTAAATGTTCAGTTCACTGATTCCAGAATGTTCAGGTTTTCTTCTGTCTTCTAGAGAGATGTTTTCACGTGTCCTCTGACCTCTATCACTGATGATAAACTTGCTGTCAATTTTATTGCCATTTCTGGGTGGGAAAATAGCTTTTATCCCCAGGTGATTTTGAATTTCCTTTTATCGCTGATGTTTTGCAACCTCACTAACATGTATGAATGTGTGGTTTTTATGTATCCTACCTTGGACTCAAGATCATTAATAGGGGGATCCTGTCTTCATTGGTATGGGGAGCGTGTCTTCTGCTCTGGAAAACCCTCGGCTGTTGTTTCTTCACGTCCTGCATTTCTGCCCATTCTCTGGTCTGTTTTTATTACTCCGAGCATTTGCTCCACTCTCAACTTTTGTTCTTTAAAACTCTCTTATTCCTCCTCCCTCCTTTGCTGTATTGTGAGTTATTACCCAGTTCCTACAGTTAATTCTTTAAGATTTGTATAATCTTTTTATGTGTCTGTTACTTTAGTGACTCTTTAGTTGCTCAAAGTTATATTTGGTGTGGTGTTTTAAATTTTGCTTTGTCTTTTTGCTTCCTCTGTCCTGTCTTGTTATAATTAATCCTTCATCTTTTATCATCATAAAAGTACTTACTGAGGATCCTTTTTCAGGGTACTCTATTATCTCTGATCCTAAGGGCATTAAATCTCCTCCTTTTTATGACTATAGATTTTCTATAATAGTGGTACATCATTTGGGTCATTGCATACTGTGCGTGTGCGTGTGCATGTGTGTGTGTGTCTGTGTATGTGTTTGTGTCTTCATTTTTACCCTTGTGGGGCTTTGTAAAGCCTTGGCCTGTATTTATAGCCAATTTCTTGACCTGGGTTCCTGCTGCCCAGTTAGGGTAACTGCACCTCATATCTGCTTTGATATAGGCTTAGAGTGTAGATTTATCACAGTCTATGTTTCTTTTCCGTTTTTCCCATTTACTGCAGAGGATAGAGAAAAGCTTTCTTATAACTTCCCTAGGCCTAAGAGTAATTTTCTTGTCCACCTTTCAGAAGTTAAGTTCTAAGCCAGAGACTTTGTTGTGGATGTCTGGTCAAGTTCTGTGTCCCTGTGGGAGATTAACACCTAAACCCAAACACCTATATTTAAGTTCAGAGGCCACTAATTTCCCAAGGACTGTGTCTTTCTCCTCATCTGGTACCTATAGCTTCTCTTTTTGTCCCATTTTAAAAAATCTTAGCTCTTAGTCTGTGTATCATTTTTACATACCTATCAGGAAGGGGTCCTTTCATGGAGACTCAGTGTGCAGCATTTCTGTAAGTCATGGTGCTTTCTGTGACACTCATCACCCAGAGTAACATCTGCTGTCCAGGTATACTGCTAGAATGAAGACCATCTGATGCTTGTACAGCATTTTGTACTGTTCCAAGAACTGTATACTCAACTGATTAAATTTCCCAGCAATCTCCTCAGGAAGGTTAGGCCAGGTCTTACCTTCCCCAGTTTATCTGAAGCTTTCAAGCTAACTGTTGCTGATGGACCCAACAAGTGTCACAATCAGGCGCCTCTTGCAACTCCATGTTGGCCATGAGCTCGTCTGTCCAAGATTTGCTAGCAAACAAATAATGACACAAACATATAGAACCAGCCTACACAATAAGAACTCTGCACAAAAGAAGACAGCATTTTTAATAGACATACCTTATTTATTTAATAATATATCACATACTATAAAATGTTTGGGATACAGAGATAGTGTCCTGGAAACTATTGTTTTAAAATTTGCAACTTAGTAAACTTCACAAATTTGTTAGAAACTTTCTTATATATGTTGAACAGATAAAATGAAAAGATTATATATGACTTTTGTATTACCATTTTGCTTGTTGCAAAATACTCCATATTTTCGTGAAATAAATATGATATTTTATGACTGGCTAATATCTTATATCACACTGATAGAATGGTTCGTGCTATGAAGGCTGGATGGTGTAGAGATGAGAGAGTAGAGGGGGAGAAGATTTCATCAGAAAGAATTCTTGAGATAGTGAGGGGGACTAAGTCAAAGAAGTGCTGAAATGATGGAAAATAAGGAAAAGTTATAGCCTTCAACTGTTAACTGAAAAAAGGGCATAAGACAGGATGGTTAAGGAGGGGAGGATGATTGGAGGAGGACAGCAATTGAGAGATAAGGGAGTGTAGGGACATTGCTTGGGTGCAGCTCTTTGGGACGGAGGAGATAAGAACTGAAGCATCACTTGGTTTTGTGCATTTATTTACATCTCAAATATTTTAGGCTGATTACAAAGGTTAAGCATATTTAATATAGAACTAAACCATCTCAGTCCATAGATATATTAATTTTTCAAATAGGTCTACTTTACAAGTCAAATTATATGCAATATGAGAAGGCAGGTTTTCAAGGAGAAGCAAGTAATTGATGTGCCCAGTGAACAAACCATGTATGTCATCCTCCAAAAGCTGTGCTGTGTGCATGGATGCCTTCTTCCTGGTACATTGCTCTATACTTTTCAGAGGGCTGTACAAACTAGATCTTCCTAGTCCATTATAAGAACAACTTCTAGAGAGGAAAGATAATAGGTATCGGAGGAGAACAATGATAGTTCAACTGTCACCCATCATTCCCCAGAATAAGGAAGACCAGAAATATCTTAGCTACGGTTTTCCACCCACACCTAGTCACACTGTCAGGTTAGAAGGCAGGTAAGAGAATGGATATCATAGGCTGGGGTGATGCTTTGCAGTCTGTTGCTTAGGAAATTTGTCACCTAAGACTATCAAACTGTATACAGCGATGAATATTTAAGCTTTTAGTTCAGCATTTGAGGGAAGGGACAAAAAAATAATAATTGCTGAGAGTATCAGTCTCTTGGAAATGGAAGAATCTAAAATTTACCTGTTCAGATTCTTTTACATTAACTGAAGAGAGACTCTTCAGTGGAGAGGACATGTAACTGAGCTGGCTGGTAATACAGTCTCCCTAGAATAACTGCCTAAGCTGGCTTGAAAAAGCAGAAGGGATCTTTTTTTATTTTTTTCAGTTTAGTCCCTTTAGTCACGGTTAATCCTGAAAGTACAGGCAAATGCTCCTCCATGACTCGATGCTCACTGTTCCCCATCTGTTTCTTCCTTTTCTCTAGTTTCTGCTGGAAGGTGCCTCAGAGCTGCCTCCCCTAGTCACCTTGCACAAAACAATTTCCCTAAACTCCTGTCAGTTTTCCCTTCTTAACATGTACCTCTGTTTATTCACTTCTTTTTCTACCCCCTCCCTCTTTATTAACATACTTTAATTGTACAAAATACTAGGTTTCGCTGTGGCATGTTCATACATGTATAATGTACTTTAGTCATATGCATAGTCCTATTACCCTCTCGTCCTTCTGCTGGTCCATTGCTAGTCCTCCATAATCCCCCTTCTGTTTCCATGTATTTTTTAAAAATCTACATTCCTTATATAAGAGAAATGTGGTAACTGCCTTTTTGAGTCTCTTTCGCTTCCCATGATTTCCCCTTCCATCCATTACCCTGCAGAGGCATCATTCCATTCTTCTTTATGGCTGAACAAAACTGCATTGTGTCTGTATCCCACATTTTTTCATCCATTCATGTGTTGATGGCCATTCAGCCTGATTCCCTAACTTGGTTTTTTTTGACACTACTTTCTTACTGCCTCTGGCTCTCCAGAGGCATGAGCTCCAGGGAGGATTGGGAAAGGACTTCTGTTTCTCGCCCATCATTTCTTTAGCATTTAAAGGGCTAGGCACAGAGTAAGACTTCAGGAATATCTGCTGGGTAGATGAAGAAGCAAGCCACCAAAGAGTGATTAACATATAAGGACTGTGAGAAAATGTAGTTTATGATGGAATGTGGTGCTGATAGAGCAAAGAAAATGATGTCTTTTTAGCTGTCAGAATACCGTGTCCTTGCTGAGCTGGTGGTTGTGTAGGTACTTACTGACAAGCATCAGAACTCATAATGAGTCACTAAATGCAACACTGCCTGAAATGCATGGCAGATGTGGTCAGCTCTCAAGTTTAGTGGAAACTCAATATGAAGACGGGCTTGGAACAGAAAGACCATAGGCAGCATGAATTGCCTTTAAAAGGTTCTTTTATTTTTAATATTTTATTTATTATTTTTATTTTATGTGTATTCGTGTATTACCTGCATATAGGTAAGTGCACCTGTGTCATGCAATGCCTGCAGAGGACAGAAGAGTCTGCTGGATCCCCTGGAACTGGAGTTACAGACAGTTACTAGCTCTCATGTGGGTGCTGGGATTCGAACCTGGGTCTTCTGCAAGAACAATGTTCTTAACCTCTGAGCCATCTCGCCAGCCCCCTTTAAAAAGTTCTTAAACAACACACATAAATAGGATGTCTTGAATTAAGTAGTTGTTTTGTTTAAGTCAGCTCTTTGTGTGATCATGTCTTAAAATAGCCCAAGTTCGTACTATTTGCTACAAAGCAACAAGCCGCTTTGAGTTTGTCTCTTGCAGTTGTATCTGTGTGTATACAAAAACCAGTCCACTTGGCTTCATAAAAGAATTACAGGCCTTTCCAGTCACCTAAAGTCAGGGCCTCTAAGCTACTGCATAATGTAGTGTGTAAAGGTGGTTTAAACAGCCCACATTAAAATATTACTCTGCCAGAAGAGACATAAGAATTTTTTTATTGTTGGTTGGATGAATGGTTGGTTGGTTGGTTGGTTGGTTGGTTGGTGGCCGGCTGGCTGGTTGGTTGGTTTTTGAGACAAACTCTTGTTGTATAGCCCAGGCTGGCCTCAAATTCATTTTCAGGTGTTAGGCTTACAGTCATGTCCCACCACACCTGGCTAGAATATCAGAATTTTGGAATAATTGTATCTGACTCAGACCTTGAGCCCACCTCAGTGGAGCCATCTCTACTTTAATCAAGAAAGCATTTGAATTTAAAGAAATTTTTGCCCAGGGGCTGGAGAGAAGGCTCAGTGGTAAGAGCACTGATTCCTCTTACAGAGGACCTGGATTCAATTCCCAGCATCCACATGGCAGCTAGCAACGCTCTGTAACTCCAGTTCCAGGGGAATCCAATGCCCTCTTCTGATCTCAGTGAGCATGGCACAACACACGAGCACTTAACATACATGCAAGCAATACATTCATACACATAAAATAATAATAATAAATAAAAGAAATTTTTAAAGAAATGACTGCCTGCATGTCCTTGTTTCATTTCTGTGACTGTAACACATAGCCTAACCAAAACCAGCTTAGGACAGCAGAAGGTTATTTCGGCTTACAACTCCTGTTACAGTACAGGAACTTGACAGCAGGTCTACATGTTCTTTCACACAGCATTACTCACTTCATAACCAAAGTGGCAGGAACCTTGGAGGATGTTGCTTGCTGGCTCACACAGGCTCATGCTTTCTTATGCTACCCAGGACCACCTGCCCTGGGAATGGTGCCAGAGGCCTCAGTTGAGGCACTTTCACAGGTGACTCTAGGTTGTGTCAGATTTAGAGTTGAAGCTAACCAGGACACCAAGCAAGAGGCAAATCTGTGACTCTTCAATCCAGGGCTTTTCCAAAATGCCATCTACTCAGTTTTCTATTCCTTGACAATGGTATCAGTCTGCTGCCATTTCTGTTCATGATATTTCCCCACAACATCTGTGTTTTATGTGGTTGCTATTATTTTTGTGGTGCTAGAACGGAACCCAGGCCTTGCATTTGCCAAGCATGCTCTCTACCACTGAGTTTTACCCCTGAGCCTCTGTGTTTTGAGACAGGATCTTGGTGTGCAGCTCAGGCTGGCCTTAAACTTGATCTATAACCCAGGATGGCCTTGAACTCACTATCACCCCGCCTCTGCCTCCTGGCTTCCCACAAAGATTTTAAAAGCATGATGAGACCTTTTTTAAGTGACCCACATAAATCATTTGGGATTTGCATTAAAGTATCATACCCAGTAACTACAGGAGCGAAAGAGTTATACGTATAATTGCTCCGTAACTATGTATTCTCATGTGTTACCCTGACTGAAGTCACATAGAAAGTATATCTAGTTTGTAGTATGCCCCAAAGGGACTTCTTGGCTATTGGTGTAGCTATTTTCAGGGTGAAAGTCCATCTGATACTGACTAGCACTCATCAGTTCCAGGATTTTCTCTTCTCCTATGCAGACATTATGTAAATTTTCTGTGGAAAATACAGAAAATGAGTCTCTAAGGTTTGTGATTCATGAAATTCTCAGAATGTTGGCTCAGTATACATCAAATTTCAAGCATATTGTTTGCATTATATTTGTTTACGAATTTCTCTTCCAGGCTGTTCCTTACTCCAGAGAATTTAAACAGAAATATGACTACTTTAGGAAGAAATTAAAGAAACCTGTGAGTACTCATTGCTTCCCAAGATGCTATGTTTTAGTCCATTTCCAATACCAGAGTTACTTCAGTGAGAACAACCTGTTTGTGACTTGTCTACATATACTAAAAATATTGCCTGCCTTCTTCATTCAGTGCCCTTTGATCCACCTGGATCCTCCATCTGAATTTTCTTTTTAACAGAAATGATATTACATATCAAATCACTTGACGAATTTCCTATGTAATACATAAAAAGACAAGTGATTATTATAGGATATAAAATAATTCAGGACCAGCACCAAAATATATGGTTAGATCTACATCATTTCATGTGGTCACTATATTTATATACATTTAGATATGTATATGTATATATATTTAGAAATATGTATATTTGGAAATCTATATCCTAGTTACATCTCTTTACATTCAGGATTATACTTTTTAACTATATCATGTACATTTTTACATAAAGTTTATAGTATATAATTAATAATACTGTTTAGTACAAGTGTGATTCTTTTTTTATTACAATTCTCACTAGCAGTTTACAACCCAGAGACTCTAAGGTTTTTATAGGGCTACTGAATTACAGGTTTACTGAGTTAGTGTTTGCTACTGGCATGCCTCTCCACCCCCAATCTTCTGTCTTCTGTGCTCAGTGCCTCTCTGTTATGGGTCTTAGTTTTGTCCTCATTTTGGTCAGAAACAGTTGGGGCACTGCAGGGAAAGGAGAGTGGCAGCCTAATGCAGCTCCTCCCTGTTTGCCTGGGGCCACTTCCTTCCTCTCCCTGCTCCCTCCCAATTGATGCTCTTGTTCTGAGCATCCATGCTGAAGAGGCACTGATAGCATCCATTCTCACTCAGAGATTCCAACCTCTGTCCCAAAACTGTAACTTAAGTACCTCATTGATAAATACTTTGAAAGAGACTCTTTGTCCTCAGAAGCTCACATTGGAGCCTAGAGTCTCGTGTTTCCTTGTGAGTCATCCACATGTCTCCAGTGACAGACAGTTCCATGGCTATTGCCCAGTCTCCCTCTGGCTCTTGGGCTGCTCTGTTATACCTGGACCCATCCCAATTAGCAAGGTCAGCCCCAGACCTCATCCTTCCAGAAGGCCATTCACACACCTCACTCAAGTGCTGGGTTACTTTTAGTCATCTTTGTGTTGGGGATGCTTCCCCCAAACTTGGTAGAATGAGGACCCAGCTCCCAATAACAATAAAGTGAATTCATAGGCATCATGGATCTCATGTCCCAACTGGAGTCCCTACCTGAGACAAAAATGGTTCTAACCTGCCTTGGGGGACATTAAGGTTTTGATTACCTGAGTTTAAGTCTCTTTCTTGAATATGTGGAAGTGCCTATGGGTTAAGTACATGTGTTGCCTGCAATGAGGAGAGGAAAAGTTTTTGTGCCCAGCAGATGTTCTTCTGCAGACTGGGTCTGAGCAGCTGTGAATGAATGCTTCTCTATGTCCCATCTTGAGGTTCTCCATCTGCTTGAGGAAAAACCCATAAAGTAGAAAATCTCAGTTGGAACCACTTGTCACTGAGCATTTATTTGAAGCCTGCTATCCTTTCTACCCTTTGTTTTTTTCTCTAAGGAAGCTACTTATATTTACTGTATGATCATGAACTTCTCCTTTTATCTTTTATCTAGGCTGATATTCCAAATAGATTTGAAATGAAACTACACAGAAATAACATATTTGAAGAGTCCTATCGGAGAATCATGTCTGTGAAAAGACCAGATGTCCTGAAAGCTAGACTGTGGATTGAGTTTGAATCAGAGAAAGGCCTGGATTATGGGGGCGTGGCCAGAGAATGGTTCTTCTTACTGTCCAAAGAGATGTTCAACCCCTACTATGGCCTTTTTGAGTACTCTGCAACGTAAGTGCACGGAGGTTATTCAGAATACCTCCCCCCCCCCCCGGACTGCTATAGTTTTATTCTTTTTCTTTTCTTTTTTTTAGTATTTTATTTATTATTTTTATTTTATGTGTACTAGTGTATTACTGGCATGTATGTGAGTGCACCCGTGTCGTGCAATGCCGCAGAAGTCAGAAGAGGGCTTAGGATTCCCCTGGAACTGGAGTAAAGGATGGTTCATAGCCGCCGTGCGGGTGCTGGGAATTGAACCCAGGTCCTCTGCAAGAGCAGTTAGTGCTCTTAACCACTGAGCCATCTCTCCAGCCCCTATACTTTTATTCTTAATTAATTTAAACCATAATGAGAAGACATGTGATCAGCACCACTGATCTCAGTCCCTCCTCACCCCGCTGTCTTTGTAAGTCAAGAACAAGTTCTGATCCGACATAGTGAAAAGTATACACAGTGAACACCTGAAGGTGATTCTTTGCTTGTCAATTCGGATCAAGGAATTGACATTGAAAATGTATTGGGTAATTACAATGGGAGCAGGAGGACTTTTTAATTGTAATATTACATTAAGAGGAGAATTTATTAGTGTCAGAATTCAGAGAGACTCATTATATGAACAGATCATTTCTGAAGTTACACTGCTTTAAAGCAAGCCACGAGGATTTAAGACCCATGCTTTAAGACACAAAGGACCATACTCTTGGTCCTATAATGGAAAAACACAGGCTGTACCTTCCACTGAGATGTCATTATTACCAGGCTTGGAAACTGAGGCATATTGAATTGTTTTCTATCAAACTGCCTCCTGTGTTCTCCAGACTGGGTGTCACACAGGCATCTTGGTTAGCAGCGTTGAGACAGCCACCTTCTGTCCCCAGGGATCTTGAGATCAGATAAACCAAGAGTTGGGCCTGCAGTAAAGATCCCCACATAAAAAAACCTCTCAAAGGAATTAGCCATCCTTGATTACAGAAACAGTCTCCAGAGCTCATGTCCTTGAGGATCCCTACACAACCCTTTACTGGTTGAACTTTCTCATCCTCTCTAGATACCTCATTGAAACATTTGTTATGAACTGTGTGTGTGCGTGTGTGTGTTTTTATATGGAAGTGCACACGCACATGTACACATGCATGTAGAGTCCAGACAACGACCTCAGGTATTCTTCCTTACCTTGATTTCTAAGACAGGGTTCTCACAAAGCTGGGCAACCAGCAAGTCCCAAGAAGCTGCCTCTCTCCCCCAGCCCAGCACTGGGATTATAGATATGTACCACCACACCCAGGTTTTTTAAATGTAGATTTTGGGAAATCAAACTGACATCCTCATGCTTCCAAGGCAAGCACTTTACTGACGGTTAGCTCCCTAGGCCCCTGAAATTGACATTTTTATAGATGAAAATTAGACAACCATCAGCAGTTTCCAAGGGCTTAATATACTCAATAGACCACATGTTACCAGCTCTAGCAGCCTACCATGGTCAGATGCAGAAAAGACTGGCTGACTGTTGGGGTTGCATCCCCTAGCTCACACCATTTCCCACTAGGCTCCAAAGGTTTGCAAGTGCACTATAAAATGGAGTCATAGGAGGCAAAGGAAAGTTCAGCTTCTCTTGTTTCTTTTTTTTTTTTTTTTTTTAAGTGTGATTGGACTTCTCTCTTTTCCTACCCCAAAGGGACAACTACACACTTCAGATCAATCCCAACTCAGGCCTCTGTAATGAAGACCATTTGTCCTATTTCACTTTCATTGGAAGAGTTGCTGGCCTGGCAGTATTTCATGGGAAACTCTTAGATGGTAAGTTATTCAAAAGTCTCGCTGTAATAAAAATAAGACAGTCCTGTGTGTGGGTGGGTCTGAAACTAGGTTTCTTACCCTCCGCATCATAAACTGTAAGTACAAACTCCACTGGTTCTCTTTAGTGCAAAAAAAAAAAGATTATTTAGTTTCCTAATTGGGGGCCTGGAGAGATGGTTCAGCAGTTAAGAGCACTGGCTACTCTTGCAGAGGACCCAGATTCAGTTAGCAGCAACTATATGGCAGCCAACAACCATCCTTAAGTCCATTTCCAAGGGGATCCGACTCTCTTCTGGTCTCTACAGGCATTACACAACACAGGTACATTTACATACATGTAGGCAAAATACTCATATACATAAAATTAAAAATAAGTAAAATTTAAACCTGGGGAATAAATGGAACAATACATAGATTGTAAGTAAAAGCTTAAATGGTCCCCTTTAGTTGGATATATTTTTTCATGGGGGAAATCAAACTTGGGGCCTGGCACATGCAACCGCTTAGTTAGAGCCCCTATGTGCAGGACATTATTTTTCTCTTTCCCATAATAGTAGTCTCTTCCTGGTCTCATCTTGAACACTGAAGACAAAGCATCTGTACACTCTTAACTTTTTTAAAAAACAATATAAGTGTGCAGCACAGAACATTCTGTGTAATGCATATTTTGTTTTCCAGGACACCTTTCCTCTAGTGAGTGCTAAATTTGGTGACAGATGGAAAATCTAATTGAAAAGTTAATTAAAATGATCTAATCCATCAGTATCTTGCCATTGTTCCATTTGTCCCCAAATCAGTTTTTAATTATCTCAAAGTAATATTATCGCTCAGCTAAGACCTTAACCCTAGAGCCCCTGCTAAAATGAATGACAGAAAATAGCTTCATTCTTCTTGAGAGGATAAATCACAGAAAAATTTCAAGACACCTGAGAAATTAGAAATCAACATCCCCACCCCCCATCACACACACACACACACACCCACACACACACACACACACCCACACACACACACACACACCCACACACACACACACACACACACACGCATGCATGCATGCACTTCCTATGTTAAAACCTACCCTACAGATTTTTTATGGACTTGGTGGTTTCAAAAGTAGTGCCTAACATAAAGGAACTACAGAAATCGTCAGGGAAAACTCTTGAGATCTATTTTTTTAAGACTTGGGTGTGAAATGGGTGAAGATGACATTTCAGTTACTGTAGAGAGAGCTGCTTGCAAGGCCCTTATGTTATTGCTTTTATGGAGCCTGGGCTTTTCCAATAAATACTTGATAGACCCTGAGTACTTCTCTCTTTAATATATTTGCACTGCTAGTGGCTGATTGTGATGCTCTGGTCTCAAAATTTTATTTTGCAAGAGGGAGGTAGAATCTGTCTCTTTCTGTTTATATATGCATAATAAGGTGCTTTCTGACTCACTGTTCTTATGTGTATACAGATGATACTTCTTTCTGATTCTCTGTTTATGTGTATATACAGTTGGCACTTTTCTGATTCTGTATGTGTGTGTGTGTATATATTATATATTATATGTGTGTGTATACATATACACACAGTTGGCGCTTCTTTCTGACTGTCCATTTGTGTATCCAGTTGTCTTAGTTAGCTTTCTATTTCTTTGCTAAAATTCTCTGACCAAAACCACCTTGGGGAGGAAAGGCTTTATTTGGCTTAGACATCCCAATCACAGTTTATCATTGAAGGAACTCAAAGCAGGAACCTGGAGGCAGGAGCTGAAGTGCAGCCATGGAGGAACATTGCTTACTGGATTGCCCCCAGTCTATGCTCAGCCTGATTTCTTATGTAACCCAGGTCCACCTGCCCCGGGATGGCACCACTCACAGTGGGCTAGGCCCTCCCTTATTGCTCAGTGATCAATAAAATGCTTCACAGACATACCCACAGGCCAGTCTGATAGAGGAAATTCCCAAATTGAGGTTTCCTCTTCCCAAGTGAGTCAAGATAACAGCTAAAGCTATCCAGCACAGCAGTTAACACTTCTTTCTGATTTCTTTTTGTTCATACGTATATACTGTAAGTTGCTTCTTTCTGGCTCTATATACGTATGGATACAGTAAGCACTTCTTTCTTCCTCTTGGTCCATGTATATATGTAGTTAACATTTCTTTCTGACGCTCTGCATATGTATCTGGAGTACATTTGTGGCTTCAGGTCCCTCCTTAGATTGTCAGCATGTTAGCCCCCTTCTAAGAAGGTCAACTCATTCACCACCAAGTAAGAAGACACTGTCAATTACCTTGGGGGAATATAAGGAAGTATAAAATATGATCCTGACCCCAGTAGTGATCTCATATTTAAGAGAGGGAAAGAGAAAGAAAACAGAGGAACAGCAATAATGGCCTCCCTGCTGCAGGGCCACATGCAGCTTCCTTTATTTGTCAGGAGGCACAGTGCTATTCCTTGGGGCTGAGTTCCCTGAATCATCAGAAGCCAGGTTGATTTCAGAGGAGCCAGAGCAGGCCAGCAGTCAGCTCTGAAGAGGGAAAAATGGAGAGAGGCAAGAGTGGACAGGGATCTGAGACTGCTGAGATGTCCCCACCAAAGGGGATTGTGCATGTCAGGAATTGCAAGTTAAGCCATGATGCTTACAGATGTGAGGGTCCCCCTGGTCTTCAGTTTCTCAGCATGTGAATGCTCCATCAGCAGGGCTCGCTCAGCATACCTGCCCCTGGGGTCAGCTTCATGTTTCTATCTCACTAGACATTGGCACATGCCATCTACAACCCTGGACCCACACTAAGCCAGGGTGAGGCTGCCTGTGCCTCCTGTGCCTTAGGGACCTGGGTTGAGAGTGGAGGACCTAGGTTAGGAGACATGTGTGTAGCCTTCCTATGGACAAGTAAATCATAGGTACCCACAGGAGAGCATCCTCCTGGTTGGGGACTTTTCTCTGCCATGACCCTGTGGCCCCTGACAGCCCTCATGAACAGTTGCACAGGGGCTTCTCTACACAGCAGTGTGTGTCCAGGAACTGATACTGAAATGCAGACAGAGTTTCTCACTGGCTCAGTGCTGCCCTGGGAGAAGTCTGTCCAGGCCCTTTTCCGGCCTGGCCTCCCTATAACACAGTGCTTGCATGATGGCCCTCTGCTGACACCTGTTTCTCTCACATGCCTTGTTGGTACTACAGACTCCTGCTTGACCCAAGGCTTGTTTGTTGCTCACCTGAAGCCATTTTTCAGCTTTCTCTGCTAAACCATCTCTCAGTGCAACTGCCCTCCTCCTTCCCCCAACTCTTCCCAAGCCTCTGTCCTAGTTCCATTTCTGTTGCCATGATAAACCATCCTGGCAAAAAGCAAATTAAGAGAGAAAAGGCTTTATTTGTCTTAAAATTCCTAGTCACAGTCCATCATTTTGGAGAAGTCAAGGCAGGAACTCAAGCAATGAGTCACATCACATCTACAATCAAGAGTAGAGAGAATAAATACCCTCACTTGTTTGCCGTCAGCTAGCTTCTCTATATTGTTCAGGACCCTCCTGCCTAGGGAGTGGTGCTACCCACAATGGGTTGGGTCTTCCTACATCAATGAACAATTAGGACAATCCCATTAAACACCCATCCAGGGCTGAGGTACCATTGCAGAAGAAGGGGCATAGAGTGGGGAAGAAGTTACATGACCATAAGGAAAGAGTCTTACAGGCACCTGCAACCTTGCTCCTATGAACTTACAGCAATGGTGACAGCACGCACAAGACCTATGCAAACTCAATCAGACGAAAACCAGCATAGACCTGGGGAAGTGGGCAGCAGGCCACAACTTTGGCAAGAAACTATTGGCAGCTGATCACTACTGGGTGAGGAAGAGATCTCCTTTAAGGAAGTGATGCTAGACAGGCTAAACAGGCTCCAGTGGATGAATTCACACTGAGGGACATTTGGGTATACAAACTTGACTCATTAGGCCTTAACATATATGACAAAATGCATAAAGTCCTGTGGGCAGGCTGTGGGGGTGGTACAGATGTGGAGGGGAGGGGCTAAATATGATTATGGTGTCTAGTATGAAATTTACAAAAAAGTCAATAAAAATATATTAAAACAAAAATTAAGACAGTCCCCCATAGACATGCCCATAGGCCATCCTGATCTAGATAACTCCCCACTGGGACTCTTTTCCCAGGTGATTCTAAGTTGTGTCAAGTTGACAGTTAAAACTAACCAGCATACCCTCCTCTTGCTCATGGATTACTCTAGAAGATCCTGGATTATTCTATCATGGCCTCTTTGTTCATATGGAAAACAGTTTAATCTTTGATTTCATGTGCTGATTCACAACAGTGTTGAGGACTTGAAATTGAAACAAGTTTTCGTCATATTTCAGGTTTCTTCATTCGACCATTCTACAAGATGATGTTGGGGAAGCAGATAACTCTGAATGACATGGAGTCTGTGGTGAGTAAATGCATCTCATGGTGCAGCCATCACAGGTATAGCCATCACTGGTCACTCGTGCCTTATAGATACATGTCAGAAACCATGTTTGCATCACAGCAGTTAATAGATGTTGTCACTCTGTGTAAACAATGGAGAGGAATTATTTGCAAAATTAATTGATCTCCCCAAATTCTATAAAGCAAATCATTCTTCACTTCCCTAAAACCACTTAGAGTGCATACATCCAAGTCTCCATTCCCTCTGCTTACCCAGCCAAGACTTAGTGAGCAAATTAAATCCAAGGGACAGCTGGAGACCTGGTTGTATCCTTGTTTTCCATCTGAAATTGCTAAGAGTCAATGTTTAGAGATTCAGCCTTCTGTTTCTGACCTCACAAAAATGGTCGGGGCAAGGCCAAAATAGTAGGATGTGTGTCACATGGTCATTTAGACACAGAAGACCACAGAATGAGAGAGCAAGGCCTGAATAGTAGAACAGGTCTTCCAGAAGGTGACGTCGTGTTCACGTGGCACAGTGTTTACGATTCCCTGGACTGACTGTACTCGAGTAGGAAGAATTTCCTACACAAAACAAATGACTTTCTTTTCATAGTATATTTGCATGCCTGGGCTTCTGTTAATTTACCTGTGCATACCGTCCACCTGTGGAGTGTGTAGGCATTTGCCTGTGTGCCCTAGGAGCATCTTTTTGTCCACTTGAGGACTGGCCATTCTGCTTCCAGGTGGTCACGAGTTAGAAAACTGTGCATCCCTCAGTTTTGCTGGCATACGAACTGTGTCTTGCACAGAGTTGGGAGTGTGAACCGTGCCCCTGGTACTGGCCAGCACTGACCCTGTGCTCCTCACCCTCACAGGAGAGGAGAGGTAACAAGCTGCACTCTGGACCTCTGTGCCCTGTGCAGCCTGGCTGCCTGGTATCTACAGCCTTAGTTCAGTCTCACATTCACTTTGTCTGTCGTTCTATCCTGAGGAAGCTAAGAGTATCAAATGCTGGTAGGGAAGAAGGTTGGGTCAGGGGTATCACTGTGTATGTAACACAGGCTGGCCTCAAATGCACAGTCCTCCTGACTGCCTCCCAAGTGCCGGGATTAGAATAGGTGTTCGACACTATGTCCTGCTCTCAAAATTGCTCTACAAGTCTAATTTAGTGGTACCTATTGGCCATTAATGTTTGGGTTTGTTTTGGGTTTTTTGGTTTTTTTTTTTGAGATTTATTACAAGCACAAAAATCACCTGTAACTCCCACTTCAGGGGATCCTACAACCTTTTCTGGCCCTGTGAACACTCGCACAAACGTGTATACAGACACACATACTCACATACACAAAAATAAAAATAAAATAAATCTTTTAGATAAATAAGCAGGAAGAGGTGGTTTTGGTGGGGAAGGTACCATGATACACCACCATGATGTTGCTGAATAGAGTCACCCTTGAGCATTGTGCATGGAATTCCCTTAGAAGAATTTCATTCTTTAAAGGAACTGAGCAAGTTTATGTTCCAAAACAAATGCTCATTTTTTTCCTCTGTGTCCTCTTTGTAGGATAGTGAGTACTACAACTCTTTGAAATGGATCTTAGAAAATGATCCCACCGAACTGGACCTCATGTTCTGCATAGATGAAGAAAACTTCGGGCAGGTATGTGAGGCTAACTCCTGGACCTCTCACACAACGTTTCCTTCCTATGGGCTGCAGCACAGCATGCTGGACAATTAGAATCATCAGCTGATTATTAGGGCTGCCTTGTGGCAGCACTGAACTGTCATGCCAGGACACTAGGTCCCCCTCATAGCCCTTTCTCTCTCCCAGCAAAGCTAGGGAATTGTAAGTGCTGGCTGGGCACCTGCTAGCACTTCTAACTCATGCCAACCAGACCTTGGTGCCGTGCTTTCAGAATGTTATTCAGAAAGTGGATTATTCACTTTGCAGGGTGAATGTGTGGCCAAGTATATGTGATGCCCAGGACAGTGGAGTTTTTTTTCTTCACTTTATGGCTCTATTGTTATGGTAACATGGCTCAGGTTTTTTTACTGGTCTGCCTCCATACCATAATTCAATGTGGATTCATCATGAAATTTGCTTCCAGGGCTAGAGAGATGGCTCCGTGGTTAAGAACATTGGTTGTTCTTGCAGAAGACCCAGGTTCGAATCCCAGCACCCATATGGCAGCTAACAACTGTCTGTAACTCTAGTCCCACAGCCTCTTCTGACAGCCTCTTCTGACCTCCGAGGACATTGCACGACATGGGTGCACTTACCTACATGCAGGCAATACACGCATACACATAAAATAAAAATAATAAATAAAATTTTATTTAAAAGTTGCTTCCAGAGTTAAAGGCACCTGTTTGAGATTCTCATCACTACAAGATTTTAAGCCTATTTTCATTTTAAATTTGAAACCTTTGATTCTTTTGTCCCCTGGTAACTGCTTCTTGGTAGATATTCTTAAGGTAGTACCTGTCTTCCCAAAAGCCCAGAGTTGATTCCCGTTTCTACATAGCTTGACATTAACTGGGCCACAGAGTTCATTGAACATGAGTGTGGGCACAAGCTGACACCTCCCATTCACCAGTGAGGACAGAGAGGAGCCACAGTGCTGGGATTGGGGCCCTCCCAGGGGAGCAGATAAGGATCCAGAGCAACTGTTGGAGCCAGGAATAGGATGACGCCATCTGGCTAGAGAGGGTGAGACTAGAAAGCAGCAGATGAAAGATGGGTGCTAGAGGGACAGCTGTGTTTGCTGTGCATCAGAGAAGGCATGGCCTTGGAGGAATCTGAAGTATAAGTCTGTTAAGAAAGAAAGAAGGAAAACTGAAAGCATTTCTCCTCCCTGTTCCCTCCTCTCATCCATACCTCTTTGTTTCTTGACTCTGTCACATCACAGCCTCCTGCCTGTTGGTCTTGCCATTCCTATTTTCCCCTCCTCCCAATCCTCTCTCCAGTACCCCATTTGTCTTCCCCATAGGTGGTTACTCCTGAAGGACACACGACTTTCCTTGTCATCTTCGGCGCAAACCTAAAACTTGCCAAAGGTTATGACCCCTTGTGACCTAGTGCCACCCACTTCTTACCCTATCCTCCGGTACCCCTTCCGCTCAGGTTCACACCTGTAACTAGCCTCTAGCATGTCCCTACATGTGACCTTAGTGCCATGGTGTTGGCAACACCATGTGCCCTCTCCAGACCCACTCTCTGTCCTTTCACCTTTCATCCTGTCTCCTCTGGTCACGAACTGACTCTCTGTATACTGTTAAGTCCCTTGAAATTTTGTCTTGGTGTCTCAGGGCTCACCACATAGTATATGCCTATTGCACAGATAAACAGATGTGGTACTTAGCACACAGTAGATGCTTAAATGTAATTGCTGACTGACAATTTATATAGACCTTGATTAAGACACTATCCAACCTTCTCACCTCTCCCAACCAACCCTCTGCAGAACTGTTAAGCAGCTATGCAACTGATTGCTACTCAGGATGAGTCCATGCCCCCAAATGCCAAAAGGTAGCCACTTCTTCCATGGAGTAGAGCCACTGCCATTGGCCAGGTGAAACTCACACCACTCTGAGGGTGTGTGGAGTTACCTTGTCTCACTGCACAGTTAGAAGTGACAGACCTTGAAGCTCAGTAGCTGTCACCTCATCCGATGGAACTGCAGCTGTTGCTGTTTGTTGTTGAGCGAGTTGTCTTCCTCCTGTCTCATGAGAGCCAAGGACTGTTGTTTGGCCTTCCATGAGGAGTTCTGCCAGAGAAGGTTGAGTTTGTGAGGAAGGGGTAAGCACAGAGAGGCCCGTGCTTTGGACACACACATATGCTAGCATTTATCCCAGAAGGAGATTTGGTAGAGTGGAACCAGGAGTTACAAGTTGAAGAGGCTGAGGTGTGAGCCTTCTGGAAGACATATAGTAGGAAGATAGGTAACAGCTCTCCAGCAAATCTGCAGGATTTGTCAGGGGAAGGCATGCCTTCTCAATAGGTGATTGTCCCAGCCAACCCATGGAGAGGGAAATGGTCTCAGACACCACCAGAGCCACAGTAGATGGCACAGATTAGAATTTCATAGAACTAAGTTGTGGGCCAAGGTACCAAAAAAGAGTCCTTAGGGAGAGATAATGAAGCAAGACTTCATTATCCCCTGGACTGGGGAAGAGAGCAAGTAGAAGGCAGACTCTGGCATGTGAGATAGAGGTAGGCAAAGCAGAGCCAGGGAGTACCAGACCAAGAGCATGGCGGTCAGGGTGACACCTCACGCCATCCCTAGCAAAGCTGTACCACCACTGAGAGCCGCGTAGGAAGGAGAAGGCAAACCTGGACAGAAACTGCCACGTGAGGCTGTATCCACACTCAGGGCCCATGTTAGCCCACAGGCCCACGTGTGGAGTTTTAGAAGCAGACAGAGCTCACTCTCCTTAGAGTCCCCTCAGAGTGGCCCATGTTATTTCCAGCTAACTCCATAGCATGAAGCTTGTACAGGAGCTCAGAGAGATGTGTGAGTCGAAAACTTTCAACTTGTGAGTGGTGAAGTTGACTTCTGTGAGGGCTACATGGCTCCTCATGGTTTCTGCTGATCTTTATAAAGAAGATGCTCAGACATAAACTTATAAGACTTAAAAAGAGAATTTCTCCAATTGCAGAGTTTTTGTCACAAGCACTTACTGCGCACCTGGTATGTGCCAGGCACTGTGTATGTCTTCTTCCTATTGGAGTCTTTCAAAATCCAATGTCAGAATGATGCTGTTGGCCTGAAAAGCCAGTGTTAGGCCAAAGTATATATTTAGTGGACCAGAGAATGGATGAGGCAGGAATCTGCCTAAAGAGGAGATAAAGGAAGAGGGACACCCAGGTTCCAGTCCTGACTCCATCTACAATTGCCTGTTTATCCTTGGTGAAAGCAGTTCCCCTCTCAGATATCCACCTCCTCCTTGGGGTGCTGCTCAGCTCCCGTTGGTGTAGAAATGGGTGCAGCCAGGACTGACTCCACCCTGGCTACGTCAGTGCGGAGCTGCCTGCACCTCTTGAGCTACTTTGGGCTATCTGCCCTATGGTATGGTAGTATCTGCAGCTAAGGGAATACAGACACAAAAAGATCAAGTCAGATGCACAGGAGGAAATGGGGGACTGCCCATTTCCTGGACATGGCGTACTGCCCATGGAATACTGGGAATGGAGCGTTGGCGTACTGGGGACCTGGACTTGTCTCCGACACACTGCTGTTCCTGAAATTACAGTTCCCAAGCACTACTTAGGGAGGCCTTATAAGCAAAGAGAAAAGGAAGCATGAATCCAGGAAAGTATGTATCATTGGGATTGTGGGTATTATTTACTCCCCTGCCTGGGATGTCAGAGAACTGTGGGAGGCAATTGGAGAGAAAAGATTCTGTCTCAGTGTCATTGAGGTTACTGAAAGTTGGCTAAATACTAAGAGATCGGCTTGGAGTGTGAGTGGTAGGTGCTGAGTAGAAGATCTCCATTACTGAAGGACAATCTCAGAGAAGAAATAAACTCAGCAGGGAAAGGGGACAACCGGTATGGGGCATAAAAGTGATTGCAAGCAATGTTAATGAACGCTTTCCAAAAATCTGGCAGAGAACTAGAAATGTTCTATAGGAAATGCCCCATCTCACTACCTGTTTGAAAGTGCTCTGCTGTGCTCCCTGCTGGCCTGGCCTGTCCATGCAGAAATAGATGGTCCCCAGCAGCAATTTGCATGAGCAGGGAGGCAGCAGCTGGACAGGGAAATGGGGCCAGGGTGCAGGCAGAAACAGGGTCCAGATCCCTGTCAGGGACAGGAGGGAGTTGAATGGACTCCATAAAAGTTGAGTTCATTCATGTGGTAGGAAAGTGAGATCCCTTCCCGGAAAAAAAGAGAAAAAAGAAGAATGCAGAAGGTCTAGGGAGTGAGCCATGAGATTTGGGGGGAACACCTCAGTATAAATAATAAGGGCCTGAATCAAGCAGACAGCAGAACATTTGGAGGCAAACCAATCTTCCACCAAAAGGCTCGCTGTCTTAGTTTCAGTAACTATTGCTGTGATAAAATACTCTGACTAAAGCAACTTAAGGAAGAAAGGGTTTATTTGGCTCACAGTTCCAGGCTATGGTCTCTCATAGGGAAGTCAAGGCAGCAGGAACCTGAAGCAATTAGTCACAGTGCATCCATGATCAAGTGCAGAGAGCGTGAATCAGCACTTGCATGCCGGTGCTCAGCTCCCATTCTCCACGCCTCCACAATCCAGCATCCCCTGCCTAGGGAATGATGCCATTCATGATGGGTGGGTCTTCTCACCTTGAGGAACATAATCAAGACAGTCCCCCTCAGACATTCCCACAGGCCAGGCTACTCTAAACAGTCTTTGAAACTCCCTTCCCAGGTGATTCTAGATTGTGTCAAGTTGATAATTAAAAGTAACCATCTGCACCCACTTGGGCAGGTTGGTGGAATTGCTGGAGCACCTTCTGCCAGAACAGATGCCAGTCTGTGTCTCATGTTAGAGACAGGACTGGGACATTTGTTCTGGAAAAACTCTCCCCGGACTTGGTTTACTTAGTACTAGAGCCTGGTGAATGACATCAGCACTCCAGTATGTCTGGCTTTCAGCAGGGACTCTGGGTGGAATGCCCTTCCACTTGTTTGCCAACTGTTGCAAGCTTTCTACAGCGAGAATAAACATTTTATTTACTATTTATTTATTTTATTTGTATGAATGTTATCCCTGCACATATGAAAGTACACCCCTGTCATGCAATGCCCTCAGAGATCAGAAGAGGGCATCAAATCCCCTGGAACTGGAGTTACAGATGGTTGTTAGCCACCATATGGGTGCTGGAATTCAGCCCTGGATTTTCTGCAAGAACAGCCAGTGCTCCCAACTGCAGGGCCATCTCTCCTGAGAAAAAACAGTCCCCTCGCCCACCTCCCTTATGCTAGTTATTACTCCATATATTAAGCAAGTGCTGGACCAAAGCCAGGAGGTGGGGTGAGGGATGCTTGGTTTTAACAGCCTTGTTTCTTTAGGTTGCAGGGTGACTGTAAGGGAGGGAGCTGCCAGGCAGAGAGAAGGGACAGTGGTCACTACAGAAATAAATTTATGCCTGAGGTCTTAAGTGTGTGTCCTTTCTTCCTTCTCCCCTTCCTTCCTTCCTTCCTTCCCTCCCTCTTTCCTTCCCCCTTTCCTTCTTTCCTTCCTTCCTTCCTTCCTTTCTCCATTTTTTTTGTTTTGGTTTTTCATTTTGGTTATTGTGTTAAGTCCCTGTATTTTGCCTCTTTGTAAAGAAATTCCATGCATTCTTCTTTATAAAATTTAATTTCTAGAAACAAATAGAGTGGGTTAGAATTGGGATATCTGTGGTCTTGATGTTACTCTTCTTCATTGTAGCTAATACATGAAGAATAATTAAAACTCACAAATAAGCATAAAATAATTTGTCTTTAATGATAATATCTTTAAATGTACCATCTTGGAACAGCTTTAAAGGCTCATTAGATATTCTCACATACACAGAGCCTATTTACGAGAAAATATTTTTGGATGAACTTTATCCTTTTCTAGGAAGACGTTGCTCAGTAACTTCATGATGTTGATTGCTGTGGTGTTCTTTCTAATTGCAGACATATCAAGTGGATTTGAAGCCCAATGGATCAGAAATAATGGTAACAAATGAAAACAAAAGAGAATATATTGAGTACGTATGCACATATTTGTAACTTTGTGTGTGGTGTATATGTTCATATTATGTGTGAAGGTGTGTGTATGAACATGTGTAAGTGTGCATGTGGAGGTTAGAGGTTGATGTTGGATGTCTTCCTCAATCACTTTTTTGAGACAGGGTCTCTCACTGAACCTGGAGCTCATCAATTCAACCACACTAGCTAGCCAGTGAGCTCCATGGATCTGTCTCCACCTCCCCAGTGCTAGAATTACAAACACATACCACACACCACCATACCTGGGTTTGTTGTTGTTGTTGTTGTTGTTTGTTGGTCCCTAGCACATGGGTGCTAGGGACCAGAACTCATCTCCTTAGATTTGTGCAGCAAACACTTCAAGCACTTTACCAACTGAGTCATCTCTCTAGCTCCTATAACTTGTTCTTTTAATAAATCAAATGATTTTTTTTTTGGTTGGTGTCCCTTCCCAAAACAACCCATGTATACTATGAATGTAAGGTTTTTGTCATTTTTCAACAATAGTAACTTCTTTTTGACTTGGGCTACTAGACAGGTAAATGTCGGGGAGAGAAGAGGTTCATTATTGAGTGAAATGGATGGTTTTCTTTGAAAAATAAATGGATGGCTTGCCTAAAATTTAGAATTGCAGCCATGGAAGTGTCAGACACTAGTGGGGTAAAATTAGGAACTACCAAAAATTAAACATTCACCTGACTTGTTCTCTATAATGGAAACTTGGGCAAATACTTAAAATGTATAGGAAAAATCCACACATGCAAACATAATGAATCATTTCTTATATTCATAATTTTTTAATTTCTATTTTTTAATTCATTTTATTTACATGTGTGTGGATATGGTGGGTGGGAGTATGCTACATGCCTGTGTGGAGGTCAAAGGACAACTTGCAGGAGTTGATTCTCTCCTTCTACCATGTGGGCCCCAGGGATTGAACTCAGGTCACCAGACTTGGTGGCAGGCATCTTTTCCTACGGAGCCATCTCACCAGCCCTGATAGTTGTAATATTATTAACGCAGTCTCCATCTCATTTCATGGAACAAAATTGACTCCTTCCTTAAGTGAAGTGTAGCTACTAAGTAATCCTGGACGTTTATAGCAGGCATAGGAACTCCCATTTGGGTCCATTGTATTTTCATCTTCAGTGTAACTGTATGAATCAAACATGTGATCCTGGGCTATTCTGAGGCCAGCCTGGCAGGATGTGATAAATGCAGCCGGGCTTGGTTCACAGTCCTCATTTCTGCCTGTAGGCGGGTTCAGCCGGCACCAAGCTCATTTGCTTTCCAGACTCCCTTTCAGCAAGCTGGATTCTTTCCTTCTCATTTGAAATAGGTCAGAGGGCCATCATATTTTAGTATAATCTAAAGAAAACCTACTATGTAATCAGGAAGAAATGGAGAGCCATGTGGATTTTACTTGGGAGACCCTGGCAAAAAAGGAAATTTGCTAGCCTTTTGTTCCTGTCAAGATAAAAGCTTATGACAGTAAATAAGCCAGAAGTAAGATACTTCAGTGATTACCTGTGCACAATAATTAGCACTTTTGTTCTGACCTTGGGCAATTTTAGTGGTTAACACCTGGCAGGCTGCTCCTCAGGACTGTTGTCATGGTGTCACCTCAGAGATGAGAACTGAACATGGATTGACCACACTGAACACTGTCTTGGGGAAAGAGATGTCAGTTACTTTCAAAGTTCAACCATTACAAATTTTAGTATTAAAAGTATTAGTGTGCATAATACATAGTGTGACATACATTTTTGGGGAGGGAGGGTGTTTTGAGACTGGGTCTCCCTGTAACCCCAGCTGGCCTGTAACTGGCATTGTAGACCAAGAGATCCACCTGCCTCTGCCTCCCGAGTGCTAGAACTAAAGGCGTGTGCCACCACACCCAGCTGACATACTCTCTTAACAAATACATGTACATACTTAGTAAATCTAGGTGGGTGTATGGATACATGTGTCTGTATTGTATGCCTACCTGTGTGATCATATCATGACTTTCTCCTTTCTTTGCCAAGTCACATTTGTGAAGCACTTGGACCCCCTGAGTCTTGATGTGGGCAAGGGAAAGCAGTTATACTCTTGAAAGTCTCCATGAGATTATAGATTTCATGGGGGTGTGCTGGCAGTTCTTAAAGGAATTCAGGGATCCACAGCAGGTGCACTAAAGCAAGCCCCTCGCCCCCACCCCCGCTTTGCCCTGCTGTTGCTATGGATTCTCTCACTTAGCCTACCTAAGGAGTAGCAGTCCCAGTTGTAAAGAGAGCAGTGAACACTGCGGTGATGGAGGTGACTTTGTTCCTTTTTTCTTGCAGCTTAGTCATCCAGTGGAGATTTGTGAACAGGGTCCAGAAGCAAATGAATGCCTTCTTGGAGGTAAGTATTGCTGTTGGGCTTAGGCTGGGGACACAATGTGGAAGGCCAGCACTGCTGAACTCACACTTTTGGCTACCTCCCAAAATGGGAGTGTTCCATGGTGTACAGCCATATTTTTCTGAAGTGTTCTTTTTCTCTGCATCTCTCATTTTTTAACTTGTATTAACTGCATTATTTGCTTGCTTGCCTGCTTGTTTGAAACAGGATCTCTGTAGCCCACACTGGCCTGGGACACATGGCAATCCTTTCACAGCCCTAAATGCTAGGATTATAGTGCCTGGCTCCTAACTTTATTTATTGATATTTTCATTTATTTACTTGTATGTGCACAAATGCACCATAGCACACATGCCGGTCAGAGGACAGTTCTCAGAAGTCAGTTTTCTCCTTTCTACATGTAGGTTCCAGGGATGGAACTCGGGTCATCAGGCTTTGTAATAGAGCGTCTTTGCCCTGCTCAGCCATCTCACTGACCCTCTGTCTATATTTAAGACTTTATTTTTAATTGTGTGTATGGGTGGGTGGTGAGTGGGTGAGTGTGCACATGAGTGAAGTGCCCATGAAGACCAGAAGAAGGCATCGGATCCCCTGGTAGAAGTGATTGTGAGCCACCAACATGGGTGCTGGGAACTGAACTTGGGTCTTCTACAAGAGTAATACATGCCTTTAAGTGCTGAGCCATCTGAGACCTAACCCTCCTCTAGCTATATTTACTGAGAAAATTTTCTCATACCTGATGTAGAGCCATTATGTTGAAGTTTTGGCAATGCCCAGAGGAGCTGCCTGCTGGTGTACACCCAGGATACTGCCTTCTCCTTCAGAACCCCACTTACACAACCCTGCACCTTGACTTCTGCAGAGCCAGTCCCTTTATGACTCTTTAAACTCCCCACGATTCTGCTTTTCATGTTCTGGGTTTTTATGTTAGATTCAAGTACCTGGCCCAGCTTTCTCCATGTGGGGGAGTGAAGCCACCACCTCTCCCACACATGAATCACCATGGGGAACATTCCCCAGCCTTTTCAGAGGGTGGGGGTTTTCACCCTAGAAAAGTGCTTCACATTGGCCAAAAGTGAAATTCCTTTTTAATGATGATGCTGCACATTGTTTAAAAACGATAGGAAACAGCGCAAACCCCAAGTTACTCATTTCCAGAGAACTGACACACAGCTCTCATTAGCAAATACTCTTAAGCTCAGTGCCTGCACATCATGAAGAAAGTCCTTGCCTGAGCAGAAAGCACAAATATTTCAGGGCCTGGGGGACATAAAATTTGAGGATGAACTTGACCGTGGCATCCATACTTTATTTAGATGAGAAACCCCAAGAAGCAGACTTCCAGCTCTGCCCGACAAACTGCAGCATTAAGAATCTCTTCTGGGTCACCCTCTAGTTAGTGACAGCCTGGCAGAGCCTGGCTTGCTGTTCCCGTCTCTATGCCAGCTCACACCGCCTCCTTTTCTCCTTCCATGCCTTCAACACCTTTATTTTTAAATGTGTCTCTTACACATCTGTGGTCTGTGCATTTTAGGACACACTGACTCAAAAAGTGTGTCACAAATTGCTTTTGAAATCCACCTGCCTACAGTATCCCATAGTATCATGCATGGGGTTTGAAAAAGTATTCAAGTTCTCGAACCTTCTAGATTGTACAAGCTTTCAAAACTTCTGTATTGTGACAATTGTTCTTACTGGAACTGTGGTCACCTGATGCTGTCACTACTGCATGAGCCGCCAGGAAAGAATGTGTTTATCCGGCTAACCAAAACACCTTATTTTACCCGTGAAATGGTCTTTTCAAAGAAAAAACTAGGTACTTATGATGTTTTTGTCTTTTTCTTTCAGGGATTTACAGAACTTCTTCCAATTGATTTGATTAAAATTTTTGATGAAAATGAGCTGGAGGTGTGTAGCTGTTCATAATTATTTTGTTTTGTTTTGTTTTTTTTTTTTTTTTTTTTTTTTTGAGACAGGGTCTCAGCTGGCAGGAACTCATTATGTAGACCAGGCTGTCCTCAGTCTCACAGAGCTCCACCTGCCTCTGCTTCCCAAGTCTGGATTTACAGGCGTGCTTCACTCCACCCAACTAAAATAGATGCTTTTAATTAATTTGCCAATGGCATTTTTGTATTTGCTCATCCATAACTTGTTGTGTATACTTGGATGAATTATGGTGCATGCTTTCTATTATGAGGTTTTTCTTCTCATCTGGAGTAGAGAGCAGCAATAGTAGCCAACCATAGACTTGTCCGTGAGAGAGCTTATGGCTGGTTCCAGTGAGCTGCATTTGAGTTCGTGGCCCAGTGCCCCAAACAAGGAAGATTTCTATGTCAGGAGCCTAGTTCACCACAGCCCTCTTGAGCAGCAGTACCTTGCTTGCAAGGCTGGCCCAGGGTCCTGTTGCCTCCAGGTCTCCAACATGAAAGGTTGGGTGGGGAACTTGGTCACAAGAAGATAGTAGTAAAAGTTGGCTTAATGGCTGTATCAGCTTCGAAGCATTGGTGCAGATGAGAAGGAACAACCTGAAAACCAAAGACATTTCCCTCCCTTGTTTGTGTCAAGACACAGAAGGAAGGAGGCCATGTCTGTCCACAAGCTACTGTATCCAAGTCATGTCTGACAAAGCATGTCTCATAAAATTTAAAGTCAGAGCTTCGAGATAGATGTCACTGTACCAAAAGCAGAATCACTGAAGCAGCGAGAAGCGAACGACCTCCCTGGGGTGACCCAGGCAGACCTAGGAACCCAGTTTTCAGGCTTTAGGCATGGCTCTCTTTCTGTTTTAGTTGAGTCCCTCTGTGGGAATATCATATTCATTGGTCCACAAGAACCTGGAAATTTACATAGTAAAAACAGGCTTTAGACTAAATACTGATTCAGGGGATCAGTTCCTGCTTGGATGGCCACAGGATGCTGGAAGGATTAGGTGTTTACTGTCACCTGAATTAACCCACCTAGGAGAGAAAGGTTGTTGGTGGCATAAGGACGAATTCTGATATCCGTATGAGTAACCTCTGGGGGGCAGCAGCCAAAATACTCTGCGTATGCTAAGAGAGTGTAAGGAGATCCAGGAGCATTGTGCTTGAAGTGTGCGGGCTGGAAAGATGACCGGTATTTTCGAGTATGAAATATCATGGCCTTGCACAGGGGTTAGACTTGAGTCACCCTCAGTCTCTGCCAACTCTGTGATCCCAGTGGCAGGGAAAGTTTACAATGTGCACCTGCATTCATTGGCACTTATGAATTGCTCCCTTACCTGCTTTGTGCAGTGATAAATGCTAGCACAGAGAAGGGTGTTTCTCAGTTTCATATCCTACCTCTTTTACACCTGATAAATTTCCTTACTAGTTGCTGATGTGTGGCCTTGGTGATGTCGATGTGAATGACTGGAGACAACATTCTATCTACAAGAACGGCTATTGCCCGAATCACCCTGTCATCCAGTGGTTCTGGAAGGTAACTCCAGCTCTCCAGGGCAGAGGCCCTGTGGTCCTTGTCTAGCCTTCCCAGGACTGATACTGGAAATTGGAGTCTGCTGGTACTTGCAGTGTGGTGAGGAGTTTAGGGGAACTGAGCCAGAAGCCCTTATTATGACTTCTTTGTAACCTCAAAGAACATTGAGACTTGACTGAAGTCAATCCCGATAAAAGAGCCCTGTTCCATCTCCACCATCTGGGTCAAGTGACTCCTATTTGAGGAACCCATTAAGGCATTAACTGGCTTACAGCATCCTGGACCCAGGTCTCTGCCAAGGAAATTGGAATGGGGGCTTCCTTGGGATTCATTAATTCCAATAACCATTTTGATTTTTATCTTACAACATCTTTGATTTACTGTCTTAAAGAGGGCCAGTATTTATATTCTCTTGGGCTCAGGAGCAAAGTAAAAGAAAGGGGGAAAAAGCTAATCCCTCTACCAAAAAGCAATTATGTGGTTATTTACGTACAAGAAAAAAGGAAATCATCCCTACATGGTGGCACATGACTGTAATCCCAGCACACACTCTGGCACTCAGCTGAGGCAGAAGAATTGAGAGCTTGAGAGCCTAAGCTATCCAGTAGGTTCTGGGCCAGCCTGAACTTCCTCTCAGATACTGTTCTGTTTTGGTTTGGTTTGGAGTTTTTTTTTTTTTTTTTTTTTTGGTTGCTTAGTTGGTTGAGTTAGTTTGTTTATGACAGTCTCACTGTGTTGTCCTGGCTGGCCTGGAACTTCCTATGTAGACCAGGCTGATCCCAACCTCATAGAGATTCACCTGCCTCTGCCTCCCGTGTGCTGGGATTAAAGGCATGCACCACCAAGACTGGCAGTCACCGTCTTTAAAAAGGAACCAAATTAAGAAAGAAATCAACTACCTTGTTTTAATTTCTGAATGTCTGTTATTAATATTTCAAGTGCCAGCAAAAATAAAGAGAAGGAACCTGACTCTTCAAAGACTATAATTCAGCTTTGATTTTTGAATTTTTTAAATAGCAGATCAAATCACATGGGCAGGCAAGCCAGTTCAGTTCCTGTAATAACTTGGATCTGTGAGACACACAGATTGTCTCAGAGGCCTATTTTTGCCTCTGGTTTCCTTCTCTTTATAAAATGTTCTCTTTGGGAAATTTTCTGCAGACCCATCTCATCACCTGGCTTCCCCTGACATAGATACTGCTGAAGCACTGCCTGGCAAGAATTAGTTTCAAGGAGCCGGCAGTCCACAAACCCAGAAACCTGTGCTTAAAGCCATCGAAGAGTTTGCTTTTTATATCATTTATTTTGGCCTGCTGGTAAAAGAAGAAAGGGATCCAGTGATCTTTCCCTCACTGTGATGAGAGAGACTAGGATTGTAGCAGCCACTAAAAAGGGGACAAGGGCTCCTTTTTCAGAGTCAGCTGTATAGGTCTTCTTCCATGGCAGTATAAATGGGAATTAAGTTTGCCTGCCTGCATTATAGGAGCATATTCTATGTGTCACATGCGGACATAATGACCCTCTGCCTCTGTCACAGGCTGTGCTACTAATGGACGCTGAGAAGCGGATTCGGTTACTGCAGTTCGTCACAGGGACCTCCCGAGTACCCATGAATGGATTTGCTGAACTTTATGGTGAGTGACATGCTCCAGACTCCCTTGTCCTCCTGAGAATCTAGCCAGGCAGCACCCTGCCTCCCAAGATCCTTTTGAGATCAGCTGTAGCTGCATCAGTTCCATAGAGATAAAGAGGACAAACAGGGCACTAACAGAAACAAACCGAGCCCCATTTGACCTAACAGAAGGAGAATCCGAACTAGTATCAGGCTTCAATGTAGAATATGCTGCAGGTCCGTTCGCACTGTTTTTTATAGCCGAGTACACCAACATCATTATAATAAACGCTCTATCAACCATCATCTTCCTTGGAACCTTCAGCCTACAGGGATTGAGAGCCTTAAAGTTACTCTTCTCTTTCATCTTCTTTTCTCTCTTTTCCCCCCTAGTTTAGCTTTCAAAACTAGATTTGCAAAATCACCCTGTGGTTGAAACTGGTTCTGTGAAGGACCCCACCTCCAGGAGGCAGGGCTCTTTCTGCCCTGCCCATTGAGGCTCACCTTGCATTCCTTTCTCCAACGTGAAACGGTTGGAGGGCCTACACCTGTGTCACAGCTGCAGCACCTGGTGTAGTTCTGTCCTGCAGGGGAGGTATTACAAGCTCTGAGCCCTTGCAGACCTCAAGCTTCCCCACAGGAGATTCTGTTTTGCCAGGGTGTCTCAGGACTCACCTGGGCAAACTTGGCCCTGGCAGTCCTTCCTCCTCTCCTTTTCTGTAGGTCCCACCCCAGCTTCATCATACTTCTACAAGCTCTGTTAACATGTTTTATTTGTTTTTTCTTTTCTTTTCTGCCCAGGTTCCAATGGTCCCCAGCTGTTTACAATAGAGCAGTGGGGCAGTCCTGAAAAACTGCCCAGAGCTCACACATGGTAAGTCACAAAACCCCAATAGGTCAGCCAGCGTTATCTCACTGTGTGTGAGGCTGGCCAGGGGCATAGAATGCAGCCTGTCCTACCCACCAATAACTCCCAGTGTAGAAGAACAAGGGTCCTTCCAACTCTTCTAGAGCAGAGCCTGCCTGCTCATCATCTGTGGGTTCACATCCCTGAGCCTCTTTACTCCTACCTTAAATTGGTTGCTTCAAATTAAGGATTAGGGGCAGTGACAGGTCAGAGGGTAAAGAAAGGCACTTGCCACCAAACCTGATAACCTTAGTTTGATCCCCAAGACAGATATGATAGGAGAGACCCAAATCGCACAAGCTGCCTTCTGACCTCCACACATGTGCAGTGGCATACATGTATACTCACATACACAGACATACACACACACCACAGAATAAATGAATATTTAAAGACTTGGAAAAAAATTAGATTGAAATTCCCCATAGCAGCATCAATTTTAGAAGGCCTTCCACGCGCAAGGTCTGTAGGTGACCCGTGGCCTGGGGTCGGGTATTGCACCTCAGGAGGTCCTATCTGGCTATGACAGGAGAAAGAGCCTCAGATATTAGCTTAGAAGACTCACACAATACTCAGCATAGAGACATACTCTACCCAGGGGGGTTTTAATCAGCATTCAGCAAACTCCTGTTAGTCCAAACTCAGTCTGGGTCCCTTACACTCATGTATCTGTGTAGAAAGTGGGGGTTGGGACTGGTCTTCTGGGAATGGTGAGCAGCGTGGCTGGTCCTGACTTTGTCAGGGCAGCGAGGCTTCCAAAGCCTGTGTTAACCATGCTGAGCTGATGTGAGTGTCCTTTCTCACCCACAGTGCCTGTGACGGTGCCTCTGTTAAGTGGCTTCTGGGGGATGCCCTTATCTCACCACAAAGAGTGCTTTTCTCTATTCATACTGTTTGTAATAGGAATAGATACGGTCACTTCCTGTCTAGTCCTTGCTGACATGTCTGCTGATTTCAACCTGAAATTGGTGACCATCCAGAGCAGGCACTGTCCACAGCTCTCGGCCTTTAATCTAGGGGAGGATGTCTGAGTAGTTCAGAGCTTTTATTCCAAGTAGTGTCAGAATCCACTGAAGTGTTTGGGGCCATAGGTTCAACAACCCCAACCTGAGCCAAGCCCAGGAACACTATGTAAATGCAGAGCCTTCAAAGCCACAGTACTCATAAGAACTAAGTTGCTGGACACATTCTTCCCCTATGGGGAAACACTGTGCATCTCGATGCCCCCTTATGATATACCATTCTTTCCCTGTTGGTTGTCAATACACTTGCCTAGGATCACAGATTCCAAAATCACAGGATTCAAACTCAGGTCTGCCAGAAATAGGATCTGGTCCCTTCACCTCTACACCAGTTAACTCTGTGCAGCCCTCTTTATATTCTTGAAAGAGAACCAAGTCAATTTATATTTAGCCCACATCCCTCTGTAATCCTGTGGACAGATATCTTACTGTCAGTCTTTTTTATTTTGGTGTCCACTTGCTATGGTTAAAACCTAGTGCTTCCCAAATTAGATCTGAACTCAGTCATTCTCAGCCTTGGTTGCATGTTGGAGCCACCACATCGTGTGTGTGTGTGTGTGTGTGTGTGTGTGTGTGTGTATACATGTATAAAGATCAGAGGTCAATGTTAGGTTCTTCCTCAGTTGCTCTCTTATTTTTTATTTATTTTTATTTTATGTATATGAGTGTTTTGCTTGCATGTTTGTAAGTGCACCACATGTATACAATACCTGGTGAGGACAGAAGAGAGCATCTGATTCCTTGGAACTGTAGTTACGGATGGTTGTTAGCCACCATGTGAGTCCTGGAAACTGAACCAGGATCCTCTGCAAGAGTAACCAGTGCTTTTTTTAAAAAATATTTATGTGTGTGAGTGAGTGTATTGCCTGCATGTGTGTGTGTCCATGTTGTGCAGTGCCCACGGAGGTCAAAGGCGGTGTTGGATCCCCCTGGAACTAGAGTTACAGACGGTTGATAGCTTCCATGTGGGTGCTGAGATTGAACCCAGGTCTTCTGTACAGCCAGTGCTCATAACTACGGGGCCATCTCTCCAGCCCTTCCACATTATTTTTTGAGACAGGATCTCTGAACCTGGAGCTCATTATTTCATTTAGACTGTCTCCACAAATCCACCTGTCTCTGCCTCTCTAGCATTGGGATTATAGGCATCACTGAGCTGGATATTTATGTGGGTGCTGGGGATCCAAGATATTTGGACATGGTGTGGGGCAAAGATCAAGCTAGGAAGTGACGAGATTTGTTACAGGAGACAAGGAACCCAACTGTCTCTTCCTGAAGCTTACTTTCCCTCCTGACTCTATGTCACAGCTCTTCCTAAAGGTTCTCTCCAGGCTGATTGGCCACCTGATGAATGGGGTGCCCTGCAGGCAGGTCTACCTGCAGGCAGGACTTTGGTATTCTTCTGAATGGCTTCCCTCCTCTGCAGGTCCAGGTTTATTGGAGAGGAGGAACAGGAACTCCCAGCTGCTTCTCAGCAGCTGTTCCATGACATTCAACCGTAGAGATGATTAATTCCTTCAGTATTCCATTTTAAAAATGTACAATTAAGCTGCACACTAAATTTGGTTTGGTGGGAGATCAGAAGCTAACAGATCTGGATCTTTCTGAAGGGCCCTCAGCTGTGACCACCAAGCACCTGACCCTAAACAGGCTCAGCTCATTGTTTGTGAAGTCACTCTGGGGGTATTTAAAAATCACTCTTCCTGAAGAATCACAGATGCACCTGCTCTTAGCATAATGTCATTCCAACCACAGGTTTTGTGTGAGGAAGCAAAGCCCACTGAGACAGTGACTTGCTCAAGGTCTGATAGCTCCCAGTGACAGACCAAAGCCATTAGCACAAAAGTAACAGTGCCAGCCAACCACCTGGCATCTTTCTGGCATTGTCCCAATGCCTGTGTGATTGACTCACAGTCGTGAAGATACTTGTAAGAGGTGGGTCATTATGACCCATCTGACAGGAAACGGGCCCCATGTTGAGCTCAAACCTATGCATCCTTTCAAACACATTGGTATGTCTCAAACTCAGTCCCATGGCAACCTTTTTCAAAGGTGGGAAATGGCCACAGGGCCTCAAGGTGCACTGGCACCCTCTATCTGAAAAGTCTATGGGAGCCTCTTCCTCCTTCCGTTCACAAAGCAGAGCTCTGACTTTATAGCAAGTGAAATTGTTTTTAGCTCATTGTCAGGCTGAAAACAGAAGTTAAAAGCTGTTCCTTCTTTTTTTTTTTTAACTGTGACATTCCTGAGGTTTATTTGTTTTGTTTTTTGACTTATTTGGGATTCCTGGATTTCTGGGACCAGCGCCCCCCCCCAACCTGTGCAACATAGTGTCCTGTCTTCTAATGCCTTCAGACTGCTAGAAAATCTGCATGGCACATGTTAGACTCCATACAGGCAGCATGGATTGTATTTGTGCCCTACTGCTGCCTCTGAGAAACAGCTTTGAGAGCATCAGAAGCTTCTGGGCTCATAATTGGAATCATATCAGTGCCTTCAGGGGGCTGGTTTTAAATTAGACAGTAAGGGCACTCAGGGCAAATGCAACCATAGGTGGGTCAAGCAAAGGGTTTAAAATCCAACTTGGGGGGTTGGAGAGATGGATGGGAGCATGGGCTACTCTTGCAGAGGACCCAGGTTCGATTCCCAGCACCCACATGGTGGTTAACAACCATCTGTCACTTCAGTTCCAGGGGATCCGATGACCTCTTCTGACTTCCAAGGGCATTGCATGACACAGGTGCACTTACATACATTCAGGCAATACACTCATATACATTTAAAAAAATTAAAAATATTTAAAGTCCAACTTGGGCCAAACCTGATTCTCCCATTCACTATGTGACTGGAGCCGAGCAATTTAAGCTTTCTGTGTCTCAGGTCAGGTTCTTGCTCTATAAAGCAAACAAAGCATTGCCTTGCTTATAGGGCCAACTCCAGCCCTTTTTTAATGATCTTGAGCTGGGTAAGGGTGTGGCTCTTTTTAGGACCGATATGTATCAGCAGTGGTGCCCTATCCCCCTCCCCCCAACACACATACACACACACACAGAGTGAACATGCAGTAAACACTGAATGAATAGCACCAATTGCCATCTTTTGAACATTTGCCAGCCCATCTTGCATATATTCATTTGACGCCCCCATTTTCCTGTGATCAATTTCATCCTTTTCACAGATGAGCAGACAGATTCAGAAAGGCAAGATGGCTTGCCCAGAGTCACACAACTGGAAGGTGGCAGAGACAGGATTTGAACTTGGTCCATAAGCAAGTAGCCTTAATTGCCACCAGAGGCCTTACTCCCCAGGCTCGGTGTGTATTGTATCTCTTCACATCCCCCCAGCTGAAGCCTTCTGATCTAGAGGGGCTTTTTAGGAATGCAATGCCTCACTCTGTCACTGGCTTGCTGGCTCTTGCTACTAGAGGCGGCTCAGCATTCTGGAGCTGAGGGACCCTGGGCTCTTCTCTGGGGTCTGCAGCATTTCCAGGGGTGGGCTGCCTGACACGCTGGGCATGTGCAGGCCAACTTTACCTATTTCATGCCTACAGAAAAGCACTTGGCTCAGACATGGTAGAACAAGTGATAGTGTTAGAAGTAGAGTTTCAGTCCATCCACCACTCCCAAAGCACACATTGTCCATGTTCTGTGGGTTTTCTTTTTCAAAAAATTCGTGTGTGTGTGTGTGTGTGTGTGTGTGTGTGTGTGTGTGTGCGCGCGCGCACGCACGCATGTGTGCCTGCCCATGATAATGTGGCAGGGAGGGAGGCCCATGCCACAGTGCTTGTGTGGAGGTTGGAGGACAACTTTATGGAGTCACCTTCCACCTTTATGTGGGTTTCAAGGATCAAACTCAGGTCACCAGACTCATGCAACAAGCACCTTTATGCCCACACGATCTCACCAGGCCGTGTTTTCAATCTTGATATATATGTGTAGTATTTATATTGCCTTGTGTGTTCCTCTCAGCAGCAGAGGGGATAGGGACAGTTAAAAGATTATCTTCTCTCCCCTTTAGATTTATAGCTTGTTTCACATGGACAGTTTAATAACTAGAATTTGGGCTGTTGTAAATAAAATTGTGGCTATGCCTCTTTTCATTCCCTTTTTCAAACAGCAGGTGTCCGTTAGCCAAATATATATATAGAAAGCATTGATATGGGGGAGAGGATGATGGCCATTCACCCACATCTTCTGTTCCTTTTTCAGCTTTAATCGCCTTGACTTACCTCCATATGAAACCTTTGAAGATTTACGAGAGAAACTTCTCATGGCCGTGGAAAACGCCCAAGGATTTGAAGGAGTGGATTAAGGCCTCCTGCCTCTGGGGGTGCTGCCCATCCAGCAAGTTCCGAGTGCACTTTTGCATTTGCCTAGCAGACTTTTGCAGAGCCGGTGGCAGAGGCAGCTGCCTGGCCTGGCTCCGGAGCCCAGCCTCCTCCAGGCCCTGCCTGAGTTCCGCCAGAGAACCCAGCTCCAGCTCCAGTGCCCGCCTCTTTCACCACCAATTCTCAACTGGTTGACGTGTACACTAATTACATTTCAGGAGGACTTGTTCTATTTATGTTGTGCCTCTGCAGGCAAAGCCCTTAATAAATATTTTGCATACTTTCTAATGACAATGAATGGAATTAATCACTCTACAGGTATAGTATTACAACTCATGTTTACTTTTTAAAATGATTTAGACCGATTTTCAGATTTTATTTCATTAAGATGTCTCATGTACTTGGAAAAGTGAGCTTTTTTTTTGTAATTGAATTTCATACCAAGCTTAATGTCAATGGCGTTTTTATTTTTGAAGTACTTTGACACTCCCACTCTCTATTAGAATTGGAAGACTAATTTTTGTCCAAAAACCTTCTACATACAAGTACTTTGAGAGAATTTCAAATAAAACATTAAGCATAATGATTTTTTTTTCCATACTCAGAATAAAAATAAACTGGATAATACCTTTTTGTACAAATTTCAATACTAGCTACAGGCTTGGAGAATTGTAACATAGCATGATATCTTTGTGTTCACGTGAAAGAAATGACGCCATTGTTCCTTAGAAGTATTGGCATACGCGGTCACACATTTCAGATAGGGTGGGACTGTCATTTCTCATCAGAAATCCTTCCCCCTTCCTGTTGCTGTACAGAGATCCCTTTCTTCTCTTTTCTCTTTGTTGTATGTAGTAGAGACATTTCCAGTGAAATTCGGCGCTGCTTTATTTCAAACTGAGGAAGCCAGATCTAGTGGTCTCTCATCTCTGTGTTTGCTAAACAGAAACTAAATAACCAGTTCTAACTGCAGCAATTCTGAAGGCACTTTATATCCTACACAGTCATATCTGGTTTTGTTTTCATTTCTTCTCATAAACATTAAATGATGATCATTTTCCTTCCCCGCACACATCTTTCTGGTGCAATATATATCCGTTGTAAATCTGGCTGCTGGTGTATAAAAACCGGGATGTAATGCTGAGCCTATATACCTGTCTTCTCCAATTGTTTTGTCATTTCTACTCAACAACAAGGATTTACTTACTATACACTTAACTAAGTTTTGTTACGTATCGTATGACCTGTTGCATGCTTCGATACTGTATACTGCCTGAGTCATGTCTATTGTGTGCTAATTTTAAAGTGAGCTAGAAGACCCAGTGGGATCCACTGAGCTCAAGCTGCGTAGCTGGCAGTGGTGGAAGTGTGAGGGTGTCTGCAGTGTGTAAGTGTCCATTACAGAATTCTGTCATTTCTGAGAAGATGCCTGAGACAGTATGGGAGTTCAGCATCCCTGCTGTCCTTTTAACATGTGTTGTCCTAGACCCTGTCATGGAAGTTAGGTGACACCAGATATTTTGATCTCTTCCCAGTTGTGGATAAGACAAAAAGACTGTGGTTTTGAGGTCTCTGTGGGGGCCATGGGAGAAGCTGTGGACATTTGTGGTTGTGACTGTGTTGTCTGAAAGAGTACAGAGAGTACTGAAGTTCCAGAGGTGGATTCCTACCACACTTGAGTATTGGCTTCCTTCCACGTGGTATTAAGTGATTATAAAATACATTTAACACTCATATTTTTTGCCTTTTGGTGAGATTTCTTTTCTCCCTTTGGTTAACAGATGTGGGGGGGGGGTCTCTTTTTGTAACCTTCCTAGTCCAGAGCCATTTCTTGGTTACAAATCGTGCCAAAGCCTGTGCTAAGCAGTGTGCTTTGATAAGGGGCAAAACCAAATCTAGTCTAAGAACAAGGGTTGTTCTATGATTCTGTAAGCTCTATATTGAATCACACTATTCATTAAGTGCAATTAGGCCAAGTATTAAAAATTCGCAAAGAGCCAGTGAGATGGCTCATTGGGTCACGGTGCTTGCCACCAAGCCTAACAACCTGAGTTCAGTCCCCAGGACACAAATGGTGGAAGGCAAGAACTGACTCCCAAAAGTTGTCCTCTGACCTTTACACACTCACACGTAAATATAATAAAATCATTAAAGGAAAGAAAATAGGAAAAAATGAAACTTACTTTTATCATTTCCTAAACCAAGAGCAGAAAAGAGTTACTGCTGTGTACTCCTGGGAATACTTGAAAGGCAGGTCGCTTGCCCCTTAGTAATACTGACTTTAATAGCTATTGCTGGATTTGGGAGTTGGTTTGTTAACAAAATCAGAACAGTTCACTAGCTTCCCTGGGGAGGTCCAGTTTGTGAAGTTTCACTTCTTGCCTAAGATGGTTTCATGTCTTCTTGTCTCCAGATCTCAATGCCCATGCCCAGTCATAACATAATTATAAGTGGCATTAGAGTGCATGCTCTGCTCAGGGGCAGGTTGCAAAGTCATTCCTTGGGCCTCCCCATTCCCCTAGTGGGGAGGAGGGTGGTACTGCTCATCCTTCTTGTCCCAACAGACATACTATTCTGTGCCCAGGGGGTCTCTCTGTTGCCTGCTTCCTTCTGAGCTGTAGTGATCATGTAATCCTGCCTCCTTGGATCCCTGCATACAATAGTTGTTGTAAACTAGTCACCTACAGGTTATGAAATGGGTTCCAGGGCTCTTACTGCATTGTGGGAAAAGCTTTGAGCATCATGTGGCTACCTTTGTGTTTTCTGCCCCTGCCCCCCTTTAGTCTGTGAATAAGTCTAGATTAATCTGCTGCCTCCAGAACAGGTGGTGGGAGGCATCTTCATTACACTTTCCTTGTCTGTCTGAAACATGCATCATTCTTTACCTTTCCGTAGCCAGTCCTCTAACAAATCATAAGAACCAGAGACAGGTACTTTATTTTTGTTTCCATGGCTAAAGATGTAGCTTAGTGGCAGAGTATTTGCCTAGCTTGTACAAAGCCCTGGGTTTGATCCCCATTGCTGAAGGGGAATAAGAAAAATTTTTTTAAAAATCTATCCCCAAGGACTTTGATTAGAAGATAGCGTGTAATCCCTAAATTCACATAGCAAATTATGTCCAGTGACTTGACATGAATTGTTCCTCCCATATAAGGACCCTGTAGCAGATTTTGGCAAATGGCTTGCAAAACATTTGAACCAGCTGCTCCATGTCATGTACTGTTGTTGCTCTTTGATCTTACTAGATTCCATTTTGTTCTCTTCAGAGTCAAGTTCATATCGAGCAGCATCTAATGTTCTCTCAGTTACCATATTTTTTTTTACTTTTCCTAATAGTCTTGTATCTCACCTCTGAAAGTCTACAAGAGCCTAGGTTCATCAGCTGCCCAGCTCCCCACTGGACTAGCTCTGTTCTTTCTGTCCTTTTCCTTCCTTACCTTGTCTCACTCAGCACCCAAAGGGAAATGCTGTCTGTTGTCATTAGCTTCCTGGCCAGTAGGGGTGCTGGTGTGCAGGGTCACCGCCTGCCCTGCTTCCTGTCCAGCCTCCAGAAGACCACATACTACCTCTGTCTCATTCAGGCATTGGGGTATATCCTAAGTCATGTCAAAACTGCCAATTTCAGGACTGGGATGTGTTTTAAAAAAAAACTTATAAACTCCACTTTGTACTTTAGATTTTAAAACTGGGAAGAAAATGTGATACACCTTGGACCACTTTTTTTCATTTATATAAGCCTTAATGAACAGTGTATATACACGTGTGTATGCACACACCACCCCAGAGTGTTTTCAGTGTGTCAGAGTAAAGCTATAGTTTCAAGACATGAGCCTGTATAGTGTTTTCTAGAAAAGGGGTAGTTTCCTGTTGGTATGAAATTCTCCAAGAAAACTTCTCATTTGGCGTCTATCCTTTGTTTAAAAAATGTTAATAGTCCAAGCAGTGCATGTTTGGAATGCATGTCCCTTGATTGGTTTTATGTTTGTAAAGAGTAATGGTAGGAATCTAAGGACATCACTGTTGGTGCCTGACCTCTAGTGTCCTGCATTTGCCACCATGTATCCGTGCATTGAACGCGTTTCCCGTAGCCATAATCTGTGTCAACAGATGTCTGTATCCCTGTCTCATACTCAGACTGATTTTACCAACATTGTCAGTTTCCTCCATGTTAACTCTGTGTGACTTCGTCTTTCCTTTGCTACCCCACATGTAACATATATACATATATACATGTGTATGCTGTCCAAATATATATGTATATATTTGTATAGCATTTTTACACCTTTATGAGTAATCTGGATTCAAAAGGGAATAAGACTTTAGTCCCTTCTACAGTTTTCTCTTGTGTCCTGAGAATTCTGACCCTCAGAGCCTGTTATCAAATGAAAACATGGGGGAAGAAAATATGGTGACTTCAAAGGTGAAAAGAATTTCAAGCATTCCAAATGAATTCTCAGTGTTTCATAACTTTTTATTATAACCCCACCTCCTAACAAAGCCAAGTGCTATTTGATACAATGGTCAAAAACCAAACTACCTTGACTTTTTTTTAAGACAACTTAATGGATAATGCTCATTTTCACAATCAGAAGAGCTTTAACTTATGGTTGAATTTGATATATGCAGGAAAAGTTTTAAGGACAAGTCCTTTCTTTGCTTTCTTCTGGAGAGATCTAAAGAGAAATTGTAGCTTGTTTTCCTGACAGCAAACGAAAAAATGTGACAAAATGAAGTCGTTGTAAAGCAGTGATGCAACTTGTCAAATATTTAATAAAGATATGGAAGCTGGAACATTTCCTACATCAAGTATTATGGATTGTCTGATTTAAAGCCTCAAGAAAACATTGCCTTAATTGTATCAAGGGATTTCTGCAGATTTACGGTACATTCAGTTCCTCAGTCTCCACTAAGTCTGCCCTGAACACATGGCTTAAGCATAAGAGAGCGCACATTTGCCCTCCTTTTAGAATTTCAGAATTGCCAACTTCATACAACATTCACATATCCAATGAGTCCAAACCTGAAAAGGCAAACTTCCCCTTTCTACTGAGTACGCCCTAGACTCGTGGGGAGAGTGAAGGAGGCTCAGTAACAAATCCTGGGCGGTTCTCAGACGATCTGAGGTATCCAGGCACGCGTCAGTTCCCCCATTAAAACTCAATCTTCCTGTTCTGGGGGATGGGGTCAGTTTGAGCTTTTCATTAGTATTGCACCCATCCCCTTGACAACTGCTGGCTGGTGCTATCCAAGCAGGACTCAAGTGCTGTCAGTCCTTGCTGTAGCAACAGATGAACTTGCTAGAAAGCTGTCACAGCACCCAGAGTGCCTGCCATTTCGCCCAAGCTTATAAGGAGATAGAAGTGCAGGCGGGAAAACCACTGTAGACTCTTACAGAGAAATATGAGGTGAGATGAACAAATTGCAGCTACTGCATGTTTGCTAGGTCAAGAAGCTCCTAACCCGCTATTAAATCCAGAAGTGATGTAGGCATTTCTGAAATTTTAGAACTAGAGTCAGCAGTAAGCACAGTGCTCCCGATTCTGCAGCGAGCTCTTCTGGGGTTGACTAGGGAGCCATATTTGAAGGGACACCCGTCCTGTAGGGGTCAGGGTGAGTGCACAAATACCACTTTCTCATCTCTGGTTATTCTCATCTGAGAATGTTTCTCAAAACTGGGCCTCCAAAGAGCCAAGGCCGTGAATTGTCTGTATTCATGGGGCTTGGGCTGGGCAGGAAAAAAAAAAAAAAAATGCCTCAGTTAAGACCAGCATAGACTCCACAGGCAGCTTCCAGAACCCAGCTGCAAACTAGGGACTGAGAAGGGTGAGATTGATGCCGTTGGGGCTTTGTGGGGCTGCTGTGGGCCAGGCTTGGGACCTGCAAGCAGACTCAGTTCAGGCCCTCTGCAGTGTCCCCTGAAGTTACCACCCCTTCTCCATCCTGTGCTACTGATGTACCTTCTTCCTTTTCCCCCTACAAATCCCAAGACGGCCCCACCTACCTTCGCAGTGGGCTGCAAACCCTAGACCAAGAAATACCCTGGTGACCAAGTAGTTAGAGAGTACCTCCTCCACCTCCTGCTGAGGACAAGCCAAGCTTGCTAGCTAAGGTGTGCTGGGCCCAGCCCTTGTAGATCTGCAGCCTGCTGTATTGATCCCTGTTGGAGCTGTTGAACAGGGTGGCACAGGAGCTGAGACCTATTCTTTCTGCCGAGCTCTGATACTAGTAGAAAGCCTTTTCCTGGGGGCTGTAGAGATGGCTCAATGGTTAAGAGCACTTGCTGCTCTTGGAGAAGACCCAGGTTCAGCTCCCATCACCAACATTTGTTTCAGGAGATACCATCCTTGCCTCCATGTGTTCCTGTACACACATGGTGCACTTACATACACTCGGGAGCACACATACACGTAAAAGATAAATCTTAAAAATCTGTGAGGAAAGGGCTTACCTTACGAATTAGTTTATCAGGGGTGTCAGGTGCTAGAGCAGTAACCCCAACCTGAGCAGACTGAAACTGAGTATTCTCAAGAGTGGTAAGACACCTGTTTGTGGAGGGGCAGAGAGTTGGATAACTGGTTAGAACAGCCCCCTGGCAGTGCATCAACAGGCTCCTCAACCAAATTTATGATTAAAAGCAAATTTGGACAAGTTCCTTTTTTTAATCATTATTTGTATTTTACGTGTATGAGTGTATTACTGAATGTATGTAAGTGCACCTGTGTCATGCAAACCCACAGAGATCAGAAGAAGGTGGATCCCCTGGAACTGGAGTTACAGCCAATTGTTAGCTGCCATGTGAGTGCTGGGAATTGAACCCAGGTCCTCTGCAAGAGCAGCCAATGCTCTTAACTGCTGAGCCATCTCTCCAGCCCCAACAATTTCTTTATGTGCATGTTTATATGCACGTGTTCATGTGTCCAGGTGAACATGTGTGGGTACATAGGGAGGCCAGAGGACAACCTTACTCATGTACCATTCCTCAAGCTGTGGACAATTTTGTATTACGATAAGGTCTCACTGCCCTAGAACTCACTAAGAAGCGTGGAGTAGCTGGTCATCAAGCCTCATGTCCGCCATTCCCTGCCTCCACTGTGCTGGGATAACACCTTACCCAACTTGTATTTATGTGACTTCTGGAGATGGAGCCCAGGTTCTCATACTTTCAAGGCAAGCGCTTTACTAACAGAACTATCACCTCAGTCCTCATCTGGACCAGCAGTCCAGAAAGTTCCTTCATGTCTCCTCCAAGCCAATCTCAGAACTCTTCTGAAATTTCCCACCACATACTAGCTTTACTTTTTGCTAGAGTTTCATTTCAAACTGTATAGCTTATTCCAATGAATTTTTTCATTCTAGTTGATAGCTGTGCTTCCCTAAAGCAATAAACTTATTAATTTAACTGATGGGAGGCCAAGCTCCATTGGCAGAGTGCCTAACGTGCACAAGGCCCTAAGTTCGATTCCCATAACTATAAAACAGCATGGTGGTACATGCCTATAATCCCAGTACTTGGAGGTAGAGGAAGGAGGATCAAGAGCTCAAGGTTACCCTGGACTACATATAATGTTCAAGGCCAACATGGGCTACATGATAACCAGTCTTAGGAAAAAAAAAGATTAGAAACCCACATGGCATCGTCAATGAAAAAAAGTCAGTTTAATAGCCAAACCATATCCCCATTTCACATGGGGTGGGGAAATCTCCATTTTCAGAATATTCACAGAAATATTGTAGGATGCTGGAGCCCTGATCACTGCACAGTGATCAGCTTGACCTTCCAGGTTGAAATCCAGGTACATCTTGCAACAGGGGATTACCAAGCCTGTGGAGGATGGTCTGGATTTTTCTCCAGGTCCCTGGTTCACAACTCTCCTGCTTTCCCTCCTGGAAGATCCTGAGATGGGAAGAAGATGGGGCAAGTTTACACTTTAGCAAGCAAGCCCCAAATCACAGTGGCTTAGCAAACATGCATTTCCCACAGTCCTGTGCATATTAGAGTAAGTGCTCTACTCCACACATTCAGGAACTCAGGTATCCTTTATCCACAGTCCCATAATCCTCTGGGACAGGATACCCTGCAACCCATGAACAGAGGAGGGAGGAGAGTGTCTGGGGAAAACTGTGCAGAAGGAGGGGAAATCCTCTGCCTAGTTCCCCTGGCCAGAAAAAAGACCATGGCCATGCCTACCTGCAAAGGAGGCTAGAAGCTATGTAGTATCTCCCAGAGGAAGAGGGAAGGCAACAGACTCCTCCACGAAGAGTATGTCTTCATCTTCAGCATCCTTTTGAGGAGACAGCTTCCCCTGGGAATTGTGGCCTTGAAGCCATTCGCCAAGGTCATCAGCCCAATGACATGTCAGTGCCAAATTACAGACAAGGAAACAGACTTGCAGAGTGGTACTCTACACTCAGAGTATCTGGGTCAGAGGGCACCCATTCACCTACTGACTCTACTACCCAACCACCACCCGCTCCACCAAACCTCCTGTGTGAAGAAAGAGTCAAATAAACTCATTTAAACCAAGATGTAAGTAACCAACTGGCTACAGTCAGAAATAGTTTTATTTTAACAAATACTAAAGATGATGCTTGGCTTAACAAAGTTACGTCATTTAGTCACTAGAAAGTTAAGTGGAGAAGTTTTTTGAGGGCAGGTCCACTTTGAGTCACTAAATCACACTGAATATGAGAGGTCTGCTCATTATGAAAAGACAGCACCCCAGAACAGAGCCCTCCCACTCATCAGCCTTGCCTCCACCCCAAAGCCAGGGCCTCCCAGGGACAGCACAAATACGCTTTTGTCCAACAAAGCCAAAGGGCTGAAGACATCAGAAATAGAAAACTGCAATTTCCAGTCCCAGAAATTCTTGGTAGGGCTCCAGTGTTATATTTGTAGAAGAGTTTCTGTTTGATAAAGAATTTTAGATATTAACTTATATTTAATAGACATTTCTGAGAGCCTAAGTTTGGGATTTTCCTGAAATTTCAGCCATTTAGCTCTCTCCGCAGTTCTAAGGTCTCTGCCCTGGGATATTCTCCCTCCTCCAAACCCTCCATCTGGGCCTCAGTCTCTCCTTGGCCCGCTTGCTTTCTCTACAACTTCTATAGACTTAGAAGATCCTTGCTGGTTCATCAGTGAAGTTTGGAGATTCGGCTGTACATCCTATCCCCACATACTGAGTGTTTAAACAACAGTCAAGCCTTTGAACCCCAGGCTCCAGTTAATATTTCACAGGCTAGATGCTGAATCAATAGGAGACAAATATTACCTTTGGAGGCAGAGAGCCACAGCATTGGGAAATACCCACTGCTGATGACAGGAAGAGAGCAATGGTCACAACCTGAATGAGGGGTCCAAGAACCCCCAGACCCCCGTGACCTTGGGCCAGACACCCTGTTCTCTTTTTTTACATGTATTTATTTTGGGGGTAGTTGTACGTGCTACAAGCATGCATGTGGAGGTCAGGAGTGGGCTCTCTCCTACCATGTGAGTTCAGGTTATCAGGCTTGGCAGCAAGAACCTTTAACCACTGAGCCATTTCTCCAGCCCAGATACCCTATTCTGCAAGGTGAACATTGAAGTCACCAGTCTTTAAGTTCTATTCTAGAACTCCCCTGATCTGATCACTGCAATACCCTCCTGTACTGTGGCCACTTGGTGCCTCTGTCCTTTAGCCACCTCACCTTGGCCATCTTGTTCAGTCTGTCTCCAGTCAAGTTCTGCTACTTGCTGGGAGTTGTTTATTCTGTCTTCCCACTGCTCTCTTGCCTCCTGCTTGAGCCACTAGGGATGTTTAGGACAGTAGCGTTGCAGGTCACCAGGGGACCAAACCCAACAGCCAGCTCCCAGTCCTGATCCTCCTTAGGATTGGAAACCATTTCTTCTTCTTAAGATGTTTGTTTGTGGTTTCCATGAATCTCTGTCTTAATCTTTCATCCTCAAAATGTTCCCACCAGCTTTTCTTCTCTAAATACACATATACTCACAAAAGTTGTTCTTCCTGGGCTTGCTGTCTCCCCATCTCTCCTCCTCCTTCTCATCCTCCTCCTTCATGTATGCCTTTCTTCCTCATCTTCCTTCTCACCTCTACATAGACAGTCAGTCTCTAGCCCCAACCTCTCTCCTCTTGTGTGGGGGACACAAGTAGATGATACCCAGAAAGAGAGTGGTCAAGGAGGAGTGTGAGTTCAGGTACATGCTGAGTCTGAGTTAGTTGGGGAATGTCCTCTAATAGTGTCCACTGGACTTCCGCAGAGCTTTGCTCCCCAAATAAGAAGAGTAGCGAGGTGTGGTTCCCTCTTCATTCCTTCCCTCATTTACTCAACAGACATGTGCCTAGCACATTCCACGTACTTTTGGGCACCAGGAATACAGCCAATGAAACAAAGCAAGACAAAGTCCTTCCCACCATGCAATATATACCAAAGTGGAGACAAAAAATGGTAAATAGGTAAGAAGGTCCAGTGTGTGCTACATTAATGATGAAGCTCAGGAAGAGAGAGGGTTCAGGTAGTAAGAGAGGTGTGATTTTAGATGACAGGACAAAACAGGATGGAGCTCTCAAAACAGTGAGACAGCCAGCCATGGGTCCACTCGGGAGGTGTGTTTGGGGTACAGGAACACCCAATCAAAGGCCCTAGACAGGAGAGAAAAATGAGGCCCCTTTGCTAATATACCAACACAAGTCATCTCAGCTTTCCACAGGAAGAGATCAAGTAGAAAGAGCGATCCAAAAGTCCCAGTCAGAGGGAGACCAGACTGCACAGGACTCATGTCATAAGTACATAAATAGCTTCATGACAAAAATTTTTAATTTTCATTTTTAATGATGTTTTTTAGACAAAGTCTTGGTATATAACCTGGGCTGTTCTCAAACTCACAATCCTCCTGCTTCAAGTTCTGGGATGTCAGGTCTAATCCACCAAACACAGTTACATAGATAACATTTAAAACTGCTATAAGACAGAAGGAGGGGCCCAAGGAATGGAAGAGGACACAAAGTCATAGAGGAGGGGTGGACAGAGGACTGGCAGGAAGACTAGGAAAGGGCTAAGGAAGTAGGGTATATTCATCATCGACCAAGGGGGAGACCAGCTTTGTAAGTTCTGCTGGCTGACTGGTGAGTTGAGGGCTTAGGTGACCACAGGAAGTGACAGCAGGAATGGAGCAGTGACCTCCACAGGAAAGACTTGGACAGGATGGTGAGTGTAAACATCTGGCGAAAGAGGGCTGAGAAGGGAGAAAGCACCAGGTCAGCAGGGGTGTGCGTGACAGCCAGCATCTATGTTCTCTTGTCCTTTTCTACTGTCCTTCCAACTCACATGCTTCTGTACCATCCACCCAGGTGTGACAGTCACCTACTGACTTGTGTCTCACGTTCTCTCTCCTGATTCCCAGCCCAGTTTGCACACAGTTCCCAGTCTAGCCCATTTTCAATATCCATCTGGCCCTGCAGAAACTTTTCAAAGGCTTTCCAGTATCTACCAGGGAAAACCAAGCTCCTCTCCCTTCACTGTCCCGTAGTACTCTGCTGGCAACCATCCTCACACTGCTCTTGCCTTCCCTCCTTCTTGCCTCTGCTCACTTTGCAATCTCAGTGAGGGTTGATTTTCCCATATATCACAATCGAGTCACCCTTCTGGGCACATCTCAAGTGTCACTTTATCCCTGAGTCTCTCATGATTACTCACTGGATGAAGTGCCATACTCCTCTAGACCTGCAGCCCTTTGTCCTTTTCTACCCATAGTCAACTGTTTTATTCCTATCCATCACCATGAGCAGCATGGACACCTGGTATCCAGCCATTGCTTTCCATACCTCAGATGCTCAGTGAAACTGAATTTCAGTGAACTGGACAGTGGGATATGGGGAAAAACCACTGGCTAACAGCAAGGTTGGGATGATTATGGGTTTCAGTTTTGAGGATCCTATTTCCAGTGTCTATTCACTCTTTATTAAACAATCGAGCCTGGTCAAGTTACCAAGTATCTCTACCATGTGATCCTAACAGATAGTCCTACTGGACTATAAGTCTACTAGGGTTTCTGGCCAGAGAACAAGAGAGGAGATAAAGCATCAGTCAGCTGAAGACACCTATATCACAAAAACCAATCTGTGGCCATGTCACCCTGGCTGAGCATTTGAGCACTTGTCAACACTTGGTGTTTCCTGGAAAATAACCTTTGTGCCTCCTCTTTCCACTTCCCAAAGCTCCAATACCAGCAACAATTCTAGTCTCCAGAAATGTGAGGTGTGGAACAAGGAGTGTATGTAAGAGGAACGGGAACATTTCAGGAACTCCCAAATGGGTTCTGAGGCCACAGTGGAGAGCATACCCCGTGGATATGAAGACCTTAAAGGTTGCAGAAGGGTCAGTGGGAATAACTCAATTTCCTGTGGACTTGATTTGGTCTTCCCCAGACTTTTAAAATAAGGAAGTTTGCATCTATACTTCACATTTTCCCATTTCTCTTTAAAAATTAGATGGCTTGGTACCAATTCACTGGCTCTGAATAGCCTGCTTTCTTTCAATGGGACCTAAGCTTCTAGTTTGCCACATTTCCCTCCCCCTGCCCCCCGTCTTATCTGACCCACTTTGCTCATTATCTGTCCGGTCACATAAGCATTAGCATTTGCTATCTCTGTACCTGCCTGTTAGCAATGTGTACTAAAGTGAGATTTGAACTTGAATTATCTAAATGATCATCCTGTTGCTCTTTACTTCAGATGGGACTGTTCTGCCTTGTTATCACAGTTCATTCCAAGGCCCTGGGCCCTAGTAGCTCACCTAGACTAGAGCCCAACCTTTGTAACTCTGTCTCTGAGCTTCCCCATTCCCTTCTAATGCTCAGCTAGGTTGGGAGTTGCCAAAATTTCCTTTACAACTCCTCTTTAATTAGTGCACCAATAGAGCTTTACCTCAAGGAAGGTGGACACAAAGGAGATCTCAGAGGTAGGTCTTCAGTGTCTCTAAGCTTGCATAGTTCCTTGATTAAAGACATCCCAGCACCCCAAAAAAACCACTTCCTTTTGGGGAAAAATTCTGCTTAAATAGCTTCTGGAATAGTCTAGCTGATGGAAACATCTTAGAACCCACTCACTCCAATTTGGGGGCAGTCTACCCAAATAACAGGCCTGATTCCAAGGAGGAGGAACTAAAGAGTTATATGAAATTAATTTTACTAGTCCCTCTGTAAATATCCTAAAAGGATGAGGACTGTGATGGAGGGGAAGAAGGGCAGGTGATTTCCACTGTAAGAAAATGCTCATTCATTCATTCAAGACATGAGAATTGATCATTACTGAAGCCCAAACATTGGGCTAAACCCATGATTTATCCTCTAAGGATTTTCATTTAATAAAATCCAGTCAGAGCCAAGGGCCAGCAATCAGCAAAATGTGCCACAAGATGCACACTCAAAATTCTTGAGTCCAGGTATACGATAGAATTCAGAATTTTTTCCTTTTTGCACTTCTGGAAAGTAGTATATTGTACATATCATACATTCTTTTGTGCCCCCATTGGTCTGGGGCAGCACCTTGTTGGCTAATCCATTCCTCTTTCTACAGCAAACACATGAATACCCATACTACGTTGAATCAATAAAAGCTATAAAAAGGGGCATGCAAATTGAAGCCAGCTTTTACTTAAAAATTAGGCTCTAGCCCTATATCAGAGTGCTTCACAGGTAATGAACATGAGTTTCAGAGTTGAAAGTAAGGGCTTAGAACCGTATACAGAGGGCCAGGCTAGGTAAAGGTCTTTAGGAGGAAATATCTTTGAGCTGAAACTTGAAACATCGACTGTACAACAAGCAGAACTTGCCAGACTGTTGAACTTGCTCCCATAGGCACCAGTCTGCAGAAATTTGAGTAGCCCAGGAGGCAGCTGTTGCCCATCCTGAGGGAGACAGGGTGCTACCACATGGGCAAGACCGCCTCCCCCCAATCAGAATCACAGCCCAAGGCATCCTAAAAATTAAACCCTGTGGGCTGTGGGTATGCAGATTCTCCCAGGAGATTCTCCCAGAACCACTGATTTATTTGGCACATCCTATGGGCCAGGCCTCATTCTAAGGCCTGTTGTTTTAGATACATGACATTTAACCCTCCTAACAGCCCTTACTATATTAGCATTGTTATTCCAATTTTCAGATACAGAAATCAAA